TGCAGCAAAAACAAATGTCTCTAGACAGCTTTCAAGAAAAAAAAAAAAATTTAGATATGTATCAAAAAAAAAAAACTAATTATTTCATTTTTTTTTCCTGCAAATCGAATTCGCACTCCAGGTTGGTTCATTCTGCATAGAAGAAAAGATGAAGATGATTCACGCTCCTTAACAATGTGTATATAATTTTCTTTGAATAAACGTAATACATAATTTTTTTTAGTATTCTTTTCGGCATGGAACGCATTATCGTATTTCACATTAATTTATATGGGAAAAATTGTTTCGTTTAACGAGTGTTTCGCATTACGAGTAAAATTCTGGAACGAATTATGCTCGTTAAGCGAGGTTCCACTGTACTTCAACACAATTACGTTTGCACCAACTCCTTTCATGTCGTTTCTTTGACGAAACGTCACATATGAATAAAAGAGCTGCGATAGATACCTGTAAAGACAATGTTTTCCGACCAATATCTGCGAACGTTTAGTGGATCACGAGTGTCCGCCCTGTCGTACACCCCTGATAGCTCTAACATGGAGGCCAAATCCCAGTTGGGTTATACTCTTGCGACAAGGCAGTATGCTTTAGACCTGATGAGTTTCGTAATGTAATCGCTAATGGGCTTACTCTGAACAATTATCCAGTGACAACTTTCTGCATAACGTCCTTGCTCTTGCATCTCATGTGTCCGGAATCTCGTCAACAACAGAACGAAGCTAAATGTGATGACGTAATATTAGAATGTCTGACAACAATAGAATATCTTCCTTTTTCATCGAACGCAACAGAGAGATGTGTGTGTGTCATCGTTACAAGTATTGTCTATGCTTACGCACGTTACTGCAGTGTTTCTGGTTAGAACTGGCTGCTAAGCAGAGTTCAGCTGTTTGCAAGTACATGTAACAAAACAATTCGCATTCACTGAGATCAACGTTCCACAATATTGTATTTGGCATCCCTGTATGTTCTATGTTTCCACGCATCCTCCATTCTCCTTTACTTCCTTTCATGTTTTAGCACATATTATTGGTTCATGCTTCAGCCGTGCATTGAGGAACGCTGTAAAGGTAAAGTTGACCTTGTGCTTAACTAATTAAGCATTACGCAGTGAAGATGTATGGGAGAGTTCATGCGTAAATCAACGTTACGACCTCGGCACTAGTTGAAGGTGAGCGATCAGCTTCACTGCCCGGTCGCTTTACCCCCCGATACCCATGAGATGGGAGGCTGAGTGGGCTCCAGAACCGGTATGGAAAATGTGGAGAGGAGACAAATCTTGCCATTACGGGACTCGGACTCCGACCTCTCGGCCGTTCATTCCGTAGCCGAGGATGTTCTTTTAACGATGCTGTGATGGTTACGTAGCGACGAAATAGCCTGGAAGGGTTTTGGGACTGAAAATAGTGTAATATCTTGGCGTCTATTTCGGTATCCATCTTGAAAGACTGAGCAAAACCACGCAAAATTTCAAAGTAGCCGGGGTTTGGACAGGTGATTCCCAGAACGCTAATGGGACACACACATCTCTGCCACGCCCTTCTCGGTGGAGAAATTAAATAATGTCGAAACAGATACAAAGATTATTATGATCTCAGGTTTCTGTGGGACAGAGTGGCCTGTTTTAAATGCAGCATCCCGGGAATTACTATACAAGGACTGGAAGTACAGAAGAAATGACGAAATGCATGATGATGTCCAAGCAGAAGGATAGATCGGAAACATGTGGCGAAAAGAACGTCCCCCAAAATTGGAAGCTAAAACCGTCTATTCTAGGGAACTATTGGATGGAGTTTTGAGGTTGTCACAGCGGTGAACATCAAGATTGCGGTGGTCTGAGATCTGACGCTGTGTTGTTTGCCAGAAGTTTCGCGACTCTTCGAAAGAACGTAACGGCCTCTCTCTTCAGATTTGAGGACCAGGCTGAACAAGCAAGCATGAAAAGCCGGCAAAATTCTATCAAACTGCACGGCATCACGCCCTAGTAGAATATAGACCTATTTATGACAAAATATCTGTTCTTTACACTCTTTCTAGAAAATATTTAATGTGAATTCGCAAACAGAAATACTTAAGAAAGCGAGGCTTCGAAAGTCGATCCTGTTGAGTGAAAGTAATTTGTTTCGAAACCAGTTGAACATTTTGAAGAAAGCTGAAAATATTTGGAGGAAATATATATATTACATAGGTATTATCAGTGACTTTATATACTTATTTGACATTTATTTCACATATATTATTTCCGATAAAATAAAATGTTGTAAATGCAACCACATTACAAAATATCACACTGCAGATAATCAAATTATTTCCCTTTATATTTCACAAAAATATTTTAAAGACATACATATACTATATATAAATGACATCTACTAATATATTTTATGTCATGTTACATCTCAGGGGGGAGGGGGTGAAAAATTATGATTACTTTAATCAGTCGCTGCCCAGTTAACTAGAATCGTCGCCGCACTCGGCTGCCGTCGGCTGTCTTGGCTCTGGTCGCTCGAGATCGGTCGTGGACGGGATGGTTATGAAGGGGGTGAATCAAAACTCCCTGCGTCCATCCTATCCTATGTACACTGGTCTATTTATATTGATATTTACATTAAAAGGGCCTCCTTTGGCCTGTTTACGTAACACCTTGCTACTTTCTTGCTAATTTCCCTCTGTGGGTGGTGAGTACCGTGAGGCTGTTGCTTCCCTTCATTGCCTGTCACTTTCTACTCCATTTCTATCCTATTCTACCCTGGTTCTCGCTGGGGTACACTGGAGACTGCACTTAAGATCACACCACAACACTTTTATCAACACTAAGGTTTAACAGCATGGCGTATATGAGCAAAGAGACTTACTTGTGATACAAATGTAGAGAAACGTCGCCATCCACCATCTCGTGGCACACATAACGAATAGGGCCTCCGGCCGACAACTCAATATTCTGGTTTAGATCAGATCCCTTAGTCTCCTAAATTCGGCCATTTATATCATTAACTTGCTGAATCGGCTGTTAGCGAAAGAGGGAGGTTAACTCCTCCTTTTGGTTCTCACTTCTCAAAGTTATATTCTGATTGGTTATTCCCTGGGGCTGTGGGTGGGCCCATGGGGTCTCATCGCTGTGTATTTAATAATATTACCATCTCCAGTGGCCCCGTTAACAGAACTTCTTACTTAGGCGATTACGCATAAATGCTGACCATCTACATTCTTAACCTAGTTGCCTGCCCAGGTGTTGACATACTAATGTAATGGCTGCAAAACACTTTTCGCAATTCTCGACATTTAGGTATTGCCTTACAATTTTCCCATCTCAAAATTGAGGTGCAACATGTCATAAACCTTTTCATGACGAGCCACCTTTATTTGAAATTTATGTGACAGTGTCTGAATAGACCGACAGGACTCACAATTATGTTCATCCAACAAACCGTCAATGTAGAACCCCAAATCCAAAATTTTGTCGAAATTAATTAAGTACTTTCGACGGTAAAACATAGAAGGAGAGAAAAACAAAATATCTCCCATATTTTTTTTTATACTCCATGCAGAGAATGTCGAAAAGTGAACAGAGCTTAACCTCCGAGCACGATTAATGAATTCACTGTCATTAAAATATGTACTTCCGTCTACGTTCAGCGTAACATGTTACAAATTTATATTAATGCAGCTTAGTTCTTTTAAGACATAGAAATTCCATGTCCCTATATTATATACGTCGATTGTGTTCCAGGAACCACAGAAGTTAGCACGGCCACCACGGTGACGCTACTAGCGACGGTGATTCAGCCTATGCAGTATGAAGGTGGAGTGACTTCCAGTGGCATGATCCTCATACAATGCTTCATGAACATCCACTGATTAATTGATAAGTCGGCTCTACTTATCCACTTGTGGTTTATCATTTTTGTATGTAAAGATGTACTCATATCGTATAGCGTCAAATGCTAGGATGATCAATGAATAGTGAATTGCAAAAGCCAGTCACGGTAGCCGAGCGTTCTGAGGCATGAACTGTCTTCGCTCGCTCTGAAGCTTGGATCCTGTGTTCGAATCCCATATAAAGCATGAATATTTGGTATTTGTATGTGTTTATTCTGTGTTTGTGTTATCCTGTCTTTAGGGAGAGGCCTTGCGACTAGCTGATCGCTCGTCCAAGGAGTCCTACCGTCTGTAAAATGATAAAAACGAAAAAAGGAAAACCTCGACATCGTAAGGTATAAGAGGAAAGGATTAAGTAGGTAAGTAAGTAAGAATTGCAAAGAACGAGGAAGGGGGTCGATCATCGTCAAATTGAGAGTGTATCACAGAATTTGCCTGAAGAAACTAAGGAGAACCACGAAAACCTCAGTTTTGGCCGTGATACACTTCGGGCTTCTGCACTCGGTAGAAGTTTAGAAATGTTGTAGCATGTAGACCCGTTGCTAAGTAATGATCCTATAAACAACGCCCGCTGATAAGCAACAGAGTCCTAATAAACAACGATTGAGCAGCATGGGGAAAGGTGTTTTCTGTGCGGTCCGTGCCGAGATGTTATACTCAGAACAAGTAGTGAGAGAATGCAGTGCAGTACAGGGAAATGAAAAGTTGGTTGGTGAGTTACTTAGTCAGACAACTGCATTACTGCCGTTGTGAGCTGTTGCCGTGAGAAAATGTTAGCTGAGGCAAGGAAAAGGGGGAACGGCCGCAGTTGAAAGCCGTTACTAGGAAACGACTTGTGGAGACTGTAACAGAGTGAGAACACTAGTGCTTGTGTAACATTGAACTGTAAGGTGTAGTCACGAGTCATATGTTAAAGTGGTCAATAAATCAAATTACCAATCCAAACGTCGTCTATTATCACTTTATCATATGTCAATATGAATACTTACACACAGTATAAATTCTGAAATGAGTACGAATTGAAAAGTAGAAGAAAGTTTCACTGGTTACATTTGACAATTCCTTACTGTGACTATAATTATTAGCTGTTATAGGAAATTAGCACCTTCCAAATTATTTCTGAACCAATTCTAGCACACATACCAGCACCATATTATTCAATGTCAGCATAATACAGATCGATGTTTACAGAGCTTGATTGACAACAAGTATTACCAGAATAAATATATTTTAATTATTATGCGTAAATAAATTACAAACAACATCGACAATTAAACTGAAAACTACCGTATGACGGTTTAAGGGCAAGACGTTACACTGGAACTGGTATATGGCTGAACTCCTTGGTTAATGGCGTCCGGGAGTCGGAGATGGAATTGCATTCTAGCTCTGATTCTTTCTGAAAAGCCAAGTTTTCGAGCTGAAAATCCGGCTGAGGTTTCAGTTTGTCTTCAAGCTCCGTGTAGTAGCTGTATATACCCACCCAGATGTGGAATGCTAAAACTGAAATCAGATAAGAACGAAAATGACGTGCGCACATACGCCATGATTTGCACATTACAAGCTGTGAGCCTACGTTCTTCCTTTCAAATTATATTAGGAAGCATGCAATACCGCAATAAAAAATCATCCGATAATTCTGAGGAAGGTTTGGGAACAGGTAATCGTCTACTTTTGTTTCACTACTTACTGAGCATTTGATACGGCATTGACCGCACAGAAAACACGTGTTTACCGAGCCGTTGCCTAGCAACGTTGAGGAAAGGGGAGGGACACACAGACAGCAAAGTGATCCCATAAGCCTCAGTTTATTTAAATAAAGAAAAATAGGCTAAGAATCAGCGTTACCTGACCTTGGAATGGATTCAGGCAACTTCTGCAGAAAGTCGTTGAAGTTCCTGCATATTTTGTGAGAATACGAGTATATCACCGGCGGTGAGTGTGAAGGCGTATAATGTTTTCGGCTGCTAGGAAAATAGGATTTTGGAAATCCTACTTCGGGCAAGCATGTTTTATCTGCGTTTCTTCAGTATTTGCGTTGTCCTTTGTCGGCAGCGGCCTTGCGAGGGGCTGATCCCACGCCTAGGGAGTCCAATAACCTCTTTGCAAGATTCATATTTTTCAGATTAATGCTCAATTGTCACATACCAGAAGGGCTAATTTGTAAGACTGAAGATGATGAGGAAATTACTGTTGTTCATGATTTCGTTGTTGTGACTTGAATGTTTTCTTTCATCTACTTTCCTTCCTGAGGAAGTAAGGGGTTATGGAATCACAAAATCTGTGTGTCTGTGAGCCCCTATGGCTAAAGTATGTACTCATTTGCCAAGTTTCATAAAATTCGGTACCAATGACTTGACTTGTCACTGAAAGCTCTCAGTCCTTATAATATATACAGCTCACATAGTTTCCAACTCTTAATCCTTCATAAGGCCAAATTTAAGTAAATAATATTTAAAAGTCTGTTATTACCTTTAATAAAAACATGCCATACCCCCATTAAAATTTCGGTGATGTTTAAGAATTTAGGCTCTTAGAGCGGAGAATATTGAGGTTCAGCCTATGGTCTTTCATGATGTGAATTTAGAAGATGAACGCAGCAGGTTACTCCGAAACGTTGGTACCAATCTACTAGGCTATACGGCGTCACATACCTCTAGACCGTAATCTTAATCAATATATGATGGAATACGACCATTTGCTAGGCAACGTTTCAGTAGACACATTCTCGAGGTGACACAGCCAACAATGGGACATCCAGTTGCTAGGCAGCAAGTAACCAAACACAGATTCCCGTGGCAACGGAAAACAGAGAACAACAGAGGAACCGTCTGAGATGGTGACATATTTTTGGGTCGCCTGGAAGCTATAAAAAGTCGTGATTCATTCGTAAGAGAGTGATTCATCGTTCGCCATTCGTCACAGTCGAAGAGAAGACACTCGTAGTCCAGTAAGGAAAGGAGCGAGTCGTAAAGAGTCAATGATTATGAGGTGTTTTAATTGGTTGTAATTGCATAAAAGTGCCAATAAATCCAGTCATCAAATCCAGAACCCATTATTATTAGTCATGTCAACCCCGAATACGTGACAGTATTAATATGGAAACAATAATGTTATTTTTAGAACGTGTTTATTCTGTTTTGTGTTGTCCTGTGCTTAGGTAAGGTCCTTGCGACGAGCTGATCACTCGTCCAGGGAGTCCTACCGTCTGTAAAATGATCATGAAATTGAAAATCAGAGGCCAGAGTCCAAGGGGGCTGTACAGTCAGCGACAAAAATAAATGCCGTCCCAGCCAATTATCTCTGGCCATGAAATCCTGCTTTATTTAAAGTTAAAGCAAGAGGTACATACACGAACACGGCATCCATGAGAACTCCTGATGTGGCAGCAGTGCTACAGACAATTAATGCAGATGCTACGACCGTAGACATCCGGGATGGGGAATCTTATGGCCCCGGAGAAAAACATTATTCTACAAAAACGAAAAATGACAGAAATTTAGGCAACTAACATAATAAAACAAACGCAAAATGTAAAGTTGTGTTTTTGGTCAATAAACTTAGCGCCACACTATGAAGACTCATGGGGGAGTGGAGGTGTAGCTCCACCATTCTTGACCTCGTCACTAGGTGGAGGTGAGTGGTCAGTTTCACGCCCCGTCCGCTTTGCCGATGGCGAAAGGGCTCCCGGTACACACTGGTTAGGAGGATGGGTGGACATCAGACCAGGTCTGGACGCCCTGGAGTAGAGAAAAATCTCTTACCTCTACCGGGAATCGAACACCAGCCCTAACACCCGTTGCCGTCGTCCTGCCGACTGACCTACTCCTGCACCAAAACAACCGTAACGGAAAATAAACACAGCCCTTGTACTTCTGGGAGAGAGCGGCTGAAAGGTGGGGGGGAGGGAGAGCTGAATTAGTCATGCAGGCCCATATGCGATAACGGCGAAGGTACAGAGGTATAGACTTACCCGCAACAAGAGCACTTCCGGCTGTAAGCAGCACGGACACTGTAGGTTCTGCTGTCACGTACGACCTGAGCAGGATGTAGACCACGAAGGCAACCAGCACGGCGAAGGACGCGAGAGAGAAGAGGAGATAAGGAAGAATCATCAGAGGATTCTCCTGCGAAAGCAATTGTCAGTTTGGTGGTGTTGCTTCTGGAAATGTATTCACAAATATCCATAGACTCTTCCCGTATCACAAAAATGTAAATGCTAACCATCACAATCGTTACATTAGCCTGGGTCACAAACATTGCAAGCCGTTACACTTTTCAGAAACTCCTTCCCCTTCCATCCTCCGACGCCCCTGTTATATAGATTACATTGTCCTACTTGTCTTCGTTCTGTTTTTATAATTTTCTGCCTTCTCTACCAGTCTCTCTTGCTGCTACAACTTTTTTCCCATCCAATTTGCACTTGAAATATACCCTGTAGGGCTACTTTTTCCATAGGCCGTGCCATAACTCAGGCGGTTAGTCGCTGGCTTCCCACCGCGGAGGCCCAGGTTCAAGCCCAGGTCAGGTCATGTGGGATTTATGGTGAACAAAGTAGTATTGGGGCAGGTTTTCTCCGAGTACTTCTGTTCCCCCCGCCAATTTTCATTCCTCCGACTGCTCCACACTCATCATCTATTGTCCGGGGCTGTTACAACAGGCCAGTTAGTGGCCGATATACCAAGCGGACTCAGTCTCACCCCACTCCCAAAACTACTCTTTCCATGCAATGGTTTATACGTCTTCCCACAATCACTCTCTCGATTTCTCTGCACTTGGAATATGATTATTTTAGCGTCTCTTTACTCCTATTGGTTCACTCGAGGTTCTGGTCCCAGTAATTATCTTCTCCACACTCTCCGTGTTATAAGTCTGAAGGCTCCCACAGCCGTCAGAGTGTAAAATGTGGTAATGAGTCCCGTGGGATTTGGAACCAGGAATCACAGTGCCGTCGAGGACCAGCAGCAGTCAGCTCTCCTTACGCTCCCACTGAGAAGATGATTGCATGACGTTCCTCCGAAAAGATGGTACATATCTACTAGAGTACATGGCTCCGCATCCCACAGGACAGAAATATTTGTACAGCCTGAACCATTTTCAGGGTTAGTTTACCCAAGATCCATCGATCCCCCTCAAACTGGTGGATAACAGATAAGGGCAGAAAATTTGTTACTTACATTTCGGGCCCCGTGTATGAGAAACCCATGAAACAGCAGGGACATGAACCCGTAGGCTGCTGGGGAGATTCGTGAATGTTCTGTAAGAAAGAACATACAGATTTTTTTTTTGTTGCTGCAGGTTTTACTTGTGGATACAGAAACATAGAGTTGCAAATTATTCCTCTGCACCTCAAAGAAAGGGTATGTACAGAGGCCGCGCCATAGCTCAAGCGGTTAGTCGCTGGCTTCCCACCGCGGCGACCCGCATTCGATCCCGGGTCTGATCAAGTGGGATTTGTGGTGGGCAAAGTGGCGCTTCAGCAGGTTTTCTCAGAGTACTTCGGTTCCCCTGCCAATCTCCATTCCACCAATTGCTCCACAATCACCCTCACCTTTCATCTGGGGCTGGTACAATAGGCCAGAAGTGGTTGCAGTACACGGGACTTAGTCCCACCCCACTAGCAATAAAAAAAAGGGTATGTACATAGTAATGTTGGTATAATATTCATACGTCGATAGATTTGTACAGTTACAATGGAAAACATGACAGGAAGTGTTCACTTTAAGACCACACGGCCACAGCTCACCTTCAGAATACAAATGCACGAGGTTCAGCAGACTGGCGATGCACTCCAACAGCACGAGCAAGCTTAACGCCTGTAAATAAGGTCATTCGATGAGTTCGGTGTCCTTGGAAGTGATTATCATAAAGACAATAGGCGATGCGACCCTCGGCCAAACTCGAGTTCTTAAACCTCGGGAACGAAGATTGACGCAACAAGGGAACGAACTAAGAGGTGCTTTAACATTTTTGTATTCTTAGATATGTAGTCCGTTGAAAGTCAAACGACGTTTAGGAGGAATATGTCGCCTCCATCTTTAGGGTACAAAAATAAACCAAGCAAGAAACAAGCGTGAAAGCAGGTCGCAAAAAGAGCTTATTCTTCGACCCTGAAGATGAACGCTACATGTTTCTCCGAAACTTCTGTTGACTTTCAACGGACTACACGGCGTTATATCGCAGAAGACGGAAATCTTCATAACTACCAAATCCTACTACGTAAGGAGTTCTTAATTTGCCTGATTCATACTTGGAAGGTATCTGGTTTGAATGTCGTCTCCGTAAGTTGGCTGTAACATATATGGATTCCTGAAAGTTACTGGAATAGTATTTTAAGACTGTCCACTAAGAGTATCCTTCCAAAATGGCAGTTCTTATTTATTCCGTTATTTCTCATATGACCTTATAGTTCATACAACGTAGTTAAATATGCTTCACAAAACAGAATTCACAGTACTGTATGTGTCCTACTCCGCTAACGCTGAAGCCACGTTTATGAAAACACAACGTTTGATAATGCAGTGTTGGGTGAACAGATTTTTTTTTCGCTTAGTGGGGGGTGGAGTCCAACTGGGTCCACTCAGCACGGCGGCCACTGATTGGCCTATTGTACCTGCCTTGGATGATTATGATGATGGAGAATTTTGTGTAATGAAGATTGGTAGGGGAAACCGAAGTACTCGGAGACAAGCAGCTCCAGCGCCAATTTGTCCACCACAAATACCACTTGACTAGACCCGGGATCGAAACCTGGCCTCCGCGAACAGTCATTTCAATGAAGACTAACTAATGTAGACTGGGTACGTTTTGTCACACCAGTTCTCTGTAGCGTTTATGCAAACCTTCATAAAATGAAGAATAATTACAATGAAATACTGATGGAAATAGCACTTAATAATTACGGGGGCGCCAGTCTGGATTAGTTCAAAATTGTTCTAGGAAATTTAAGAGCAGGTTTTAACTCTCTCTCCCCCCCCCTCCCTTCTTTCACACACACACATGCGCGCGCGCGATTCAGTTGGAAAGTCATTTAGACATGTTAATTAATGGCATATTATTAATGTACACAATGACACAGGTTTTCCTAAGCGTAAACATAATTTCCTTGCTATTAAAAAACATCGGGTCAAGTTTCTGACAAAGGTGAAAGACTTTGGCTCACATCAAGTCCTCAGGATTTTCAAATGACTGCAGAATTACCGCTGGCCCTCACCAGCAGAGTGATTTTTGGTTCCGAGTTCCGTGGGATCTTTTCACGCACTCACATATGGTTTAAACCGAATTGTATAAGTCCGAGGTCTTAACCTGGCTCCTTATTACAAGGTAATGACCAAGGACGGATTTTATCCACGGCAGAAATTAACCACCGACTTAAGTGCTGTGGTTCAAGTCTGCAAACGTGACCGCTACTGTCCGTGTTGCACTGGAGATCGCGAATAAATAACATGGAGGACACGATATAGGTTAATCCCAGTGGCCAGAAAATGGCGGCTACGTGGAGAAATATAAGTAGCAAGGACGCCCAGCGGCATGTCATAGCGACGCCGAACATACGTGTATTTACCCCGCAACAGAAGAGCGCTCAGTTCAAGGACAACTTCGCGTATGAGCATGCGTTTGAGGGGTGAGCCATAAAAGTGGCGCTCGCACTGCAACCTTCAATGATCTATTGTGCTTCCCCTTTGGATTAACCCCTTATTAATATTACACTTCGAATGAAATGTAGGGCTTTGTTTACGGGGGCGTCATAAGTCACTTGGTTCCATGAAGATTTGACCCAGGTGGCGATATCTTAAATAAGCTATAGCCTCTCAATCACGTAAGATGTGTTTGGCGTAAGTTCGTGTAGAGCAACGCAAAAGTGATAGCCCATTACAGTTTGTTCAGGACTTTCAACTGATCGAGCGACATAAAATTGATGTCATTAATATTTTCAGCAATTTAAAATGGCAGAGAAGCCGAAATATCTCAGTCGGCATAGCGAAGAGCTATGGGCTGGTAACCGGGTTTCGATTCCTGGCAGGAACAAGGGGTCTTTGGTTTCTCCGCAGGGTCCAGGGGCACATCCAGCCTCCTATACAATAGATACTGGGAGCTCTTTCCTCGGGGGTAAAGCGACCAGGGAGTGAAGCTGACAAATCTCTGTCTAGTGTCGAGGTCAAGAATGACGGAGCTATACTTCCACTCCCCAAAGCTTCTTTATGGCGTTTTGCGTAATTAATTAAGCATAGGAACAAAAGTCTCTTCTTTTTGGTTTTAAATAGTGGAATCCTAACTGATGCCTTATTAAGCGATAACTGTCTGCAGTGCGTTCACAGATGTTTAACAGAAGGGATGACAGTTCTGAACACGCGCGCGAGGGCTTCGTTTCAGGGCAGATCGGTTGGGGTTGATGACAAAAACATTAATGATCGAAGCTTTGTCTATCCACAATCAGTACTGATGTTTCGTTTGATTTTGGAAGGCTTACAGATGAATGTTGGCTTGGAAAAGATTTTGAAGGAAGCGGTTTTAGCCTAATGGTGGCAATATCCCAGCATTTGTGTGGGGGGGGACTGAGAAAAGCCACTAACACTTCAGTTAGTATAACCGATGTTCCAGACGAGATTCGAACCAAATACCCTCAAGATAACTGTCATGAGCGTTATCACTCTGCCAAGTTGTTCGATATTACACTAAACCTTCCTCATAATAGATGGATATGGGGGTCCCAGGGAGCTCGTTTTCTTCGATGTCCTCTATATGAGAGTGCAGAATATTCACGGAAGTACACCGTAGGATACATATACAGTTCACGCAACAAACATAGAAACAAATATTGAGATTACGTAAAGGTTTTTATATTGGGGTCCCTTTTTCATTTTAAATAGTTGTCTAATTACAAACCCCATTTTATTTTTCAATGGCTCTTCCAGGCCATTCAGGGCTCTGTCCTCTTATTCAGATCCGTAATCATTTTTACACAAACTGTAGGACTCTTTGGGCGAGTGATCAGCTCGTCTCAAGGCCCCCACCTAAACAGAGGATAATACAAACAGAATAAACGCATACACACAACAAACATCCATGCCCTAAGTGGGATTCGAACCCACGATCCGAGGGTCCGAGCGAGCGAAGACAGTTCATGCCTTAGACCGCGCGGCTACCGTGACCGGCAGAAAACCTTATTAGTGTCTCTAGATCTCTAAGATTCACAATTGCAGAGAGCCAAATTGTACCCATTATATCGGGAGCCATTATTACGAGGGCTTACTGTACTAATGTCATGATCATCATTATTACGTGTCCTTTCTAAGAAGTGGACATTCGACTTGATTTGCATGCGGTACTTAACAGTGCCGGTCCAGCCTGCGAGAATGGTGCCTGTCTGCAACGAGCATTGCCAGCAGTAGCACTGGAACTGCTGTTTCACTGGAATGCAAGAACGCTTCAACAGCATGTTGATGTTGGACCTCTCAGAGAACTGTAACACATTCGTCAGCAATTGGCTTGATTTTATAATTAAAATAAAAGCGAAATATAAGAGCCATTTCAGCTTTTTCTCCTATATCTCTAGAGGCAACATGTGGTGGATGTTGTCGAGGGGATTTAGCGAACGGATGTCCCCTGTCCTCCAGTACGGCCTGGTACAGGATACTGGTTGCTTTCCTTTACGCTAACTCTGGGGCTCACCCAGCCTCTCAGGGGGTACAGCAACCACAGTGTTTCTTTGATACGCCGCCAGTGCTACACCAGACCACAGAGCGTCTCACGTTCTTGAGAAACTCAGATCTCCCAGAAATGAACAGGAAACGTTAGAGGCCAACAGAAACAGATGCCGTGTTGGAGACAAGACACAAGCCTTCAACTAGCCAGGGGACTGTACAGATGTTGATGTTTCCTCGGCTGTGAGTGTTAGGGCTAGGGCACACCGAGGAAAGTGGCAACCACAACGCAACCGCAATTTCCGAGAAATGTCGCCGATTTCAAGCAGGCAACTGGTTTCCAGATTAGCAGGCTCATACTGAGGAAATTTATGTTTGAGAAGTTGCTCACATCACCTTAAGTGGTTATGTTCGTCCGACGTAATGCATGATTGTAATTATTAATTTCGTGCACTTACCTTCTGCGATGGAAGATAATACTGATCCTGTCACAGTATGGTGGTAGTTGGGACCGGTTGAGACGGCGTGAGAAGAGAGGACGACGACCAAAAGGAAAATATTGGGATGTTAATTAATTTGTTTTAATTAAGGTCAATTTATTTTAATCAGGAAATATTGCGTTCACACACGATAGGAAATTTTGACATACAGTGCAACAATTTTAGCGAGACAGAAGACACCTGATGACGGCCGTATATAGCTGAACCATGTAATGTGGAAGAAAGGTGACTATATAGTAAGTTGTATTCAAGACGGAAATATACGTGAAATCAATGATATATTAATGCAACAGGATGCTTAAATACAATATTAAGGAAAGAAAACATCAGGTACATAAATGGCTTGAAGCCATTTGTGCACCCCGCGTGCTGCTTGGAACGCACGGACTGCCTTATATACATCATAGACTCCCAAGTATTATAATAAATTCATCATATTCTTTACTAAGAGTACGAAACAAACTTACTTTATCCTAAAGGTTTAACTTCGTTCTATTTGTCCACGAAAAATTATCTTTATTTCTATTTTGCATTGTGTTAGGTGCCGTCAGACTTGGTTCTAGCTGAAGTTTATATTCATATGCAAATATTATAAAGAACTGCTCATTACTCTTTCACATATATTAATTACATATTGGCCTATAGATTAATGGTTCATAAACCACAATTTTACGCTCACACTTTTACTAAAATTCAGGCTGTAGACATTTAGTGTCCAGTTCGGATACTACTTACTTACTTACTTACATATGGAGCTGAGCCCTTCTTGAGGAGAAGCCAAATCTGCAGCTACTCAATAATTCCCAGCTTTTTATGGAACCCGGAGGTTCATTACCATGTTCACAACAGCCTTCCACTGGTCCCTATCCTGGTCCAGATCAATCCAATCCATACCATCTCATTCTATCACTCTAAGATCCATTTTAATATTGTCCACCCACCTACGCCTTGGTCTTCCCAGTGATCTCTTTCCTTCTGGCTTTCGCACAAATATCCTATATGAATTCATCGTACCCCCCATCGTGCTACATGCCCTGCCCACCTCATACTCCTTGACTTGATCATTCTAATTATACTTGGGGAAAAGTGCAAGTTGTTCGGATGTTATTGAGTATAAATATATCTGCAGCTGCTTACACTAAATTTAGTTTAATTTTTCAGGAATACTGCTTGTTTTTCTCATTTAGGTAACCATATACAAATATAAATGTCCATAATAAATATACTATGAAGTAATTCTTATTCCACGTGTTTTTCGCTTATTCCAATCCTCTGTTACTAAGTCCATGATTTATTTTATCCGTCTTCTAGTGCATACATTTATTTATCCCCTCCTTTCACTCTCACTACATGTTTCGGCACCAATGTGCCATCTTCAGGTGCTGATCCAATCCACGACAAACTAATTCATTGCATGCCTTGTCTTTACATACTAANAGAGTGCTCCAACAGAGGATGATAGACGTGACTCGCGTAATGAAACACGACGTAGGAAAGAAATATGCTGTACAGTTTTAGTATTTTAACACTTGACATTTGTCAGTATATATGATAAATATATATTTTAGTTATTTTAGTATGTAAAGACAAGGCATGCAATGAATTAGTTTGTCGTGGATTGGATCAGCACCTGAAGATGGCACATTGGTGCCGAAACATGTAGTGAGAGTGAAAGGAGGGGATAAATAAATGTATGCACTAGAAGACGGATAAAATAAATCATGGACTTAAATCAGTGCAACAGGACGCTAAAATATAACCTCTGTTACTACATTAAATATCCGAGTAAAAGTTAAAATAGACTCTTATGAATTAAACAACTTGAGAAACCGAAATAAGAAAGTTATATACAAGATATATTTCTGGAAAGTGATTATTTCAACTCTTGCAACGAAAACCAATGGAATTAATTATGCTATTACTAACAATTATTACAATATTGTAACGTCACAATGTGAATATTTACCTACACCCGACAGGATTGAAATGGATGTCCTCTGTACTATTACTAACAATTATTACAATATTGTAACGTCACAATGTGAATATTTACCTACACCCGACAGGATTGAAATGGATGTCCTCTGTACTATTACTAACAATTATTACAATATTGTAACGTCACAATGTGAATATTTACCTACACCCGACAGGATTGAAATGGATGTCCTCTGTTCTATCATTCCTTAGAAAACTGGTGTCAAACTTGTCATGTCAGAAATTAAAATAACAATACAATCAATCAGATTAATTAGTGGCGCTGAGAAAAAAGAAAAAGCAATTAAACAAGAACAATTTCCATACCACATACTTCTCAAAACGATGGCTACACGTACAGATGTACTGATATGCCACTGTTTGCTTTACGTTAATTGTCTTTGATGTTAAATGGGCAAATTTAACAGGAAGCCTGTATTTCCATATAGCTCTGTGGGCTTACTCAACTGCGTTACGTTACATCACTATAGCAATACCACTTGGCGCCTAGTTCCCCAAATTGTTTTGTCTATTGATTCTACAGCCTGTGATGTTTCAGTGACAACGTAATTAGGTACTACCTGATGCTCAGCATACCTTTCGAGTGATTACACATTTCTCCCGATAGATGTCACTGCGTGTGAGATTAACACCCGGACGGAGCGAGGTCCTTACCGGACTGGTCCTACGGGACGCTTTGGTGTCCCAGGCCCGCCGACTTGGCGCCTGGCTGCCACCAATGGATAAACAGGAACGATCAATAGATCTACTGTGCCCACTTTAAATACAATTAACTGAGATGTGTAGGATTAACTGATACTGATGGGAGTCATTGTGTTCTTGAAAGTCAGGGTCATGTGTCCGATATGCTGGCTGTCTGAGAATATTTTATTAAATAATTTAATAATAATTTTCATTTCCGTTAAGATTTGACGTTCTCATAGCGATGAAAATTCATATTGTGGTTTTCTGTCCTTTGCATCGTGTAATCTGGTAGATGGTTACTGACGTTTCAATCGGAGAAAGACACAGCTTCCATCTTCAGGTTAGAATCGTTCCTCTGAATTGTTGGTAACCAGGCACCACACAACGCTATGCTGTAACTAAAAAAATCACAGTAGGATTTATTTCGGGTTATACACAGGCCTACAAGCGTGCATTTCTCTGCGAATAGAATTCTTAAAAATTCGTACAAAAATCGGAGACAAATTTTATAAAAAATTTCAGCATATTCTTAATTTTCTTGAACGTAACACATTAACAATATGAATTATTGTATATAATACAATTGTATGAATTGTATGAAAATACGGAGATCACAGTGGCAACGCTGTCTAAGGCATGAACCGCCTTCGCCTGCTCAAACTCTGGTATCATTGGTTTGAATCCCACTCGAGACATAGAAGTCTGCGTGCGTTTATTCTGTTTGTATTGTTCTGTGTGTGAATGGAAAAGTAGCGACTCCGGTCTAGAAAACCGAGATTAACGGCCTTGGGAATCCGTTGCACTGACCACGCGGCACCCTCTATCCGCAAGAGTTGGCACTAACTTCGCCGACAAGCGGCGGTCGCTCGGTCAGTATAGTTCGCTTGCAGACTAAAAGCCACCAAGTCTTTTCTGTGATCTCTCCATCAACGGACATTTGCTTTCGGGTCGAAGGAGAAGGGGTTCAGATATAGAAATTTCTGTGTAAGAATGGACTGAGTCATTTAATTGTCCAGGTTAATATTAGGCAGATGATCTGCGTTGCAGGAAACCGAGACATCAGTCTATTGCTTTCGCAGTGATGCTGGAGATTCATTACCGTGTTCACTATTGCCCTCCACTGGTCCCTATCTGAGACAGATCAATACAATCCATACCATCCCATCCTATCTTTCTAAGATCCATTTTAATATTGTCCTCCCTCATACGCTTATGTCTTCCTAGTAGTCTCGTTCCTTCTGACTTTCCCACCAATTTCCTATATACATTCCTCTTCTCCCCCCTTCGTGCTACATGCCCTGCCCATCTACTCCTCCTTGACTTGATCATTCTAATTATACTTGGAGAAGAGTACAAGTTATGAAGCTCCTCATTATGCAGTTTTCTCCAACCTCCTGTCATTTCATCTCTCTTCAATCCAAATATTCTCCTCAACACCCTTTTCTCAAACACCCTTAGTCTATGTTCCTCCCTTAATGTCAGAGACCAAGTTTCACACCCATACAGAACCACAGGTAAAATTATAGTTTTGTATATTCTAATTTTTATGTTTTTGGACTGCAGACGAGAAGACAAAAGGTTCTGGACTGAATAGTAGCAAGCATTACCCGAGTTCAATCGCCTCTTAAATTCCTCCTGAATCAAGTTTTGATTTGTTATCGTCGTTCCCAAATATCTGAACTTTACCACATTTTCCAAACATCTGTATCCTATCTTTATGTCATGATTTTGCCCTGCATTTTGGTGATGAGACAACAACATATACTTAGTTTTCTCTGTATTTACTCCTAGACCAACCTTTTTACTTGCGTCAATTAACGTTCTTGTGTTTTTCTTTATGGGATCTATATTATCACCCAGTAGATTCACATCATCGGCGTAGACCAACAGCGGAATTTTCCGCTTGTTGACAAGTTGGTGTCTTCTGTGAAGATGGTATTTCTTAAAGCACCATACAGAAAAGAAGCCTTTAAAGCAATAGCACCGAGCGTTCCACTTCCTCCAGAACCAATTTTAACGTTCTGGGGCACGTGGCTGTGTGCAGCGAGTTATTATACCGAACATTTAGAAACAGTTAGGAATGTCATGAATACATTTGATCCCCAAAGTGCAGCATCAATTCAAATTGCCCAAGATGTACTAAAATACGCAGAACTAGAAACTAATCTTTCCTATATAGCTGCTCTCTTCTCTCATCTTCCATCCGCCATTTCCTCACTGGAGGCAAGCAATAGCAATACTACTTTTTATCAGTCGTTAAGTGTGTTCAAAACCACTGTTTCTAAATTGAATTCGGTTCCTGGAAGAGTTGGTGAAGTAGTAAAGGAAAAGGTACACAGCATTCTTTAAAAATTCCAGGATATGAACAAATTTGTGAAATTGAAGAAATTTTAGCCGATAAACGTACTGAATTGCCAAGTAAAAAATCACTAACAATGGAGCAAATAGCGGCTTTTGTACATGTGCCCCTAAGTTCCTGTGAAAAGGAAAGAAGTGTTTCCTGCTATAAAAACATCTTACGAGACAAATAGGAGGCGACTAACTATGGAAGACCTAAGACATTTAGTAATTGTGAACTGCAACAGAAGAGAAGTTGAAAGTTCGGAGAGCTAAATGTGAGTGCCATTGGTTTTTAAAATTTGTAATGAAATATGTTGGCTTTGTTGCATGATTTGTATTTAAGTATAGCTTTTTATTGCATGTGAATCATTCAGCGATTGCATAAAATGAACTTAAATATTGATTTGTTGGTCTTAAAATAATGTAAAATCAATTTTAATATTTGGCATAAATTTTTATGTGCATATTTTAGTGCAAATTTCGGAAGTTTTTCATGCATAAATGCATACATAATTAAGGGATTGTTAGGGCATAAAAATCCGGTTCCTAGTTATCATAAATCTTTTCAGGAGCATAAAAGAAATGGCGTCAGTGTCGCTTTAACCTCACAAGTTAGCGCGTTCCCCAAGTTGTTCACAGGAAATTAGAAATACAATATCGAGAAAAGGGGAAAGGGTCTTAACGGAAATAAATTTATACCCAGTTTCGGGAAGATCGGTTAATTGCCATAAAACTTAAATATTATGGACACACACAGACTCACGCACAAGCACACAGACAGTGTAGTTATCTCCTAAACCTAAGGTTTAACTTAATATCCATCCATCTTTCCTACTGCTGAGTACCTTTGTCAGCAACAGGTTTAGTTTTAATATAGAAGACGAGAATTATCTGATCCAGGTTAAGTGACGAATCCGCTTTCTTCTGCGATGTCTTGAGTGCTTCGTTCTGGGCTAATATGTGACACCAATATACATTTTAACAAAAACCTACCTACACACAAAGACATAAGCCCAAAATACAAATACTGGCCAATTTATCACATATATGATAAATTATGTACGTAAACCTGATGATGGCCACGTACTGAATAAGGCGCACACAATCAGTGCAATTGTATGCAGCTGTGTCTGGCGGAACATTTATACAACATGACCCTCTCATATGTAGCGTGTGCTTTAACTTTCATGTCTATAGACCGGTACATGCTGTGCTTACGAGGACAAATCTCTTTGTTGTATTTGATGTTCTTTGTATGTTTCTTGCTTGTCGCTTGCTTTTAACTTACTGTTCAGTCCTGAAGATGGAGGCAAAACCTTCCTCGGGAATATCTATTGTCCGACCTACACTGCGTCATACCTCTTGAGTTAATGCCCCTCACTCTTGAAACCACTTCTCTGTCTACCGTATTCAGTGGACATTCCCCATAATATCGGATGGCACCTTGAACAGGCGCAGTCACTCCCATCTGGCACACACGTAACCTAACAATTTCCGTTTGATTCAGCAGCAGAAAAATATTTACACTTCAAATCTACCAAGGAGACGTCATTAACACTTTCATTTTCCAATATCAGCTTCAATTTGAGCATCAAATAAAAGCATAAATTTATGTTTCGCAAAAATTAAAACTATATTACAAAGTGAAAGAATACATTAAGTTAATAACCTCGATGTAGGAAATATAAAAAAATAAATATTCATACATATCAGCATGGGTTTTCTCTAAAATTCAACTTTGCCTGTACTATCATATTCGGTTTGGACCCCAGGGTCGAAACCGACAGATGCGCAACTTTTTTTCTAGCTCGCCGATAAACTGTCCTGACTGAAAGAAATCGATGGTTACACATATGTCTAGGGGCCGCGCCACAGCTCAAGCGGTTAGTCGCTGGCTTCCCACCGCGGCGGCCCGGGTTCGATCCCGGGGTCTGCTAAAGTGGGATTTGTGGTGGACAAAGTGGCGCTGGGGCAGGTTTTCTCCGAGTACTTCGGTTTCCCCTGCCAAACATCATTCCACCAATTGCTTCACAATCACCCTCACCTATCATCTGGGGCTGGTACAATAGGCCAGAAGTTGCCGCAGTGCAAGGGACCTAGTCCCACCCCACTAGCATTAAAAATAAATTACACATAGGTCTATGTATTTACGGAAATTTCCTAAAAGCTTATCTAAGCTATCATATTGTAACGTGTTTTGAGTTCGAAGCTCGTTCGTCACGTGTGTAAGTTCGTATCCCACTTCTGAGACCAGTTGTCGCGTATCGGGGGTATATCGCGACAAATAACTTCAAGCCTTATTTTATATAGCGAATTTTATTTCACATTCGCACTTACAATCACCCAAATTACAGATTTACGATTACTGCTATCTGCAGTATCACAATTAGTACACTCCAAATGCCGCAATACAACTGACTGGTTGCTGGCTAACTCGGAACTAACGTAGCTCGAGGACTGACTCGTAGGTAGCTCCAGGACTGACTGCGAATAGCCTTCGCTGCGCCTTATGTAGCCTCGATCGGACAATACGGAAAACGGCCACGTAATAAGCACCCTTGTTGCCTGGCGCTGTGTTGCTAGTAACGCTAGCGGAAGTAACCGCTGTTACTACAGTCGTCTCTCGCAATCACTGTTTACCCGCGGTACCCTTGGTGACGTCATCGCTGTTGACTCGCGTTGCCTAGCGACCAGGATGCTAGGACTCGGCCAGCATCGGCTCGCTTCAGCTTCGCTCGGCGCATCACGGCTGGCGGGTGTGGGGGAGGGCGTCATCCATAGCTCAGCATGTCACAATATGTATAATGCATCGTAATAAGATTATCTATATTATTATGTAAAAATATTTAGTTATGTTTGAGGCCGAACTCCCCGCTCAACTATCGCGTAGAACACAAACCACTAACAAACACCAGTGCCTTCGCTATGTTTCGACCGTTTCGACGGTTTCGACAAGTTACTGCGCAGTTTCGGGTCGAAGGACTGCGAGACTCCTCCTACCTTGCAGGGACTGCTAACTGTTTACCTGCGAATATCTTGGTATCCTCGAAAGGAGTTCTGGTAGCCCAAGAGAGTATCAAAGCAACGTATGCAGAATACAGCTTAATTTTTTCCTGACGATCGACATATGAATGAAATCTTTGTCCACTGACGAGAATTTCTGAACTTTTAGAGTGTATTCTGTTGGCAGTCACACTGAGTGCATGTGAACAGAATTTATTAAACAAATACTCATTGCCATATTTGTTGTCCTCACATTGGCGACTTTGAAGATTACTGTCTCATGATGTGATGTGATGCCGTGTAGTCTTGTAGATCTTTATTGATATTTCAGAGGATATTCATGCCTCTGTCTACAGGGCAATAGTGCAAACCGAGAGTGGAAGGAACTGGTAAGGATTACCAGGGTCTCCGTATCCGTATCATTTAAGAAAGAGGGAACAGCGGATTCTATGTTGAAATGCAGACAGGCTGAGTGCACATGCATCTGACCAGGGGTAGAGAGCTATTGCTGCTGTATGTCATTCACTTTTATATACAGAATAAATTAAGAGCAACTTACATATTTTGTACCAGTCAAAAGAAGGTTTTAAACTCATAAAACATTATGTCAAAAGTATTATTTTATTGATATTATTTTAGCATTACGACTGATTAAATTATATCTGCTGTATTACTTCGAATGCAAGACGAACATTTTACACACCTTTTTCCCGTTGTAAAATTGAGGTGCCTCTTAAATTCGAGGAATATGCACCTTTCTATTCTTTTTCCTAAAACCCGCATTCAAAAACTGGATGCGTCTTAAATTCGAGGGCGCCTTATATTCGTAGTAATACGGTATAATACAGGGCCTAAATGTACACAGGACACACACAGTCGGATTTTCTTTTTGTACAGTCTCCACACGGTACTACGAGCAGGCTTTTGTCTGCCTTTGTTCTTAACTGTAAAACGTCCATAGATGCCATACCAGGCAGTTTGTACCACATTAAACATTATACATATTTCCCCCCCCCCCCTTGGCACTACAGCCCCAGTGGGCCTAGGCCCACCCTCCATGAACTTCTCCGCTCACTTCGGTTTTTCTAGATCTTACACGTTCGGTAGGACTCCTTGGGCGGGTGATCAGCTCGTCGCAAGGCCTCTACCTGTACGCACACACACACACACACACACACACACACACACACAGAAAAACGCACACGCACAAACTAAACATCCATGCCCTGAGTGGGATTCGAACCCACGATCCCGGTTTCCAAGCGAGGGAAGACAGTACATGCCTTAGACCGCTTAGACCGGCCAATATACATATACATTACATATTTAACTACAGCTCTAGATTAGCAAATTTTTAATTTGTAGATTTGAAATCATTTTCAACCCTCACAGAACTTGCTGTTAACACTACTTTGAAATGGTGTCTAATTAGTTTCCTTTCCATATTTACTCCTCGTTCTGCCTTCTTGGAAGAGTTTGTAATATCCATGAACGAAAAGTCTGAATTATTTTAATCTTACCTTATTTCGAATAATTCCTCATAATTATTCACTTTCGTATATTTCAATATACAATATAATAACATATACTCTATCTATCTATCTATCTATCTATCTATCTATCTATCTATCTATCTATCTATCTATCTATCTATCTATCTATCTCTATTTTCATATGATCAAATGAGCATTGTACTTCAGTAATACTCGTACATGTTGTTTCTTCTGCTCGTATATACCTACAATATTACATGAACTTACACTCTTACAATAAACACTCATATGTAATACTCTTCTTAATTAAAACACATTGATTTTACCGACAAGTCTAATACATAAACATAAGACCCACAACTGTATTTTAGAAATGTTTCATTAAGATTCAACTACCACAGTATTACGTTGCTAATTACAATCTTCATGGAGAGCAGGGGTTACCAAACTCTGTGGACAACGGACTGCTTACTACGTGTATTCTCTTTGGTGAATCATCCGAAGATTAAACAAAATATTCTGAGAATTTCGGAATGAACGACATGACATTTAGTCCAAATTTACACCCACGTATTTGGACAAAAGTTATTTTAATGATTTTTCCTTGCAAACCACCTATTTTATTTGTATATATTCGTAAATTAAATATAACATCAATTAACATGAATTCAGTGTGATAAGTTGAAGTCACTTTTTCATTCAAGATGGGGCAGACCACTTGAAATTGTCTCGCGGACCACTTTTGGCTCGTAGACCATGAGTTTGTAAATCTGTAGTGCAAAGACTACAGTGGCTGAGTGGGTGTAAACAATATATTATTGTCAAAAAACTAAACAAGCTTACTCAATATTTCCATTGTACCTACACGTATTGTGGGTTTGTAGTACGAATCAGTTAATTAACCCGGTTTCCCACTGCGCCTGCCCGGGTTTTATCCCAGTTCGAATCATGTGGAATTTGTGGTGGACGAAGTGGCATTGGAGTGAGCTACCTCCCAGCATTTCGGTATCCCCCACCGATACTATATCCATAAATGTTTTACATTCGTTATCCATCCCATGGCCGGTAGTCCGCAGGCGAACTATACCGACCGAACGACTGCCGCTTGTCGGTGAAGTTAATTCCAACTTGCGGATAGAGAGTGTCGCGTCTTCAGCGCAACAAATCCCCACGGCCGTTAATGTAGGTTTTCTAGATCGGAGTCATTATTTCCTCGAAATAGCACCTCAGTTATCCTCATGAGGCTGAGTGAACACCGTTCAAAGTCATCTACTTCTCAGAAAACATGATAGTGCCGGGAATCGAACCCGGGACCTCTGGATCTGTGGCCAGGAACTCTGACCACTAGGCCATAGAGTCGGTCTCATCTCTAAATGAGAAACTTAAAAAAGAAAGTAACAAAAGCATTTGAGTACTTTAAGGCATTCAAATAGCCGAAATATAACTATAAGGTACATTATTTATTTTTCTATAAGTTCTTTGAAGAATTTAGACCCGTTGCAACCTTGCTTCTGTAAAACATTAAGTAAGCCCCCGTATGTCATAGAGGTTGTTAGTTCGTCAGGGAAATGAACACAAATCCAATATATATTAAGAATGTTTTGCAATTTGATGTCCTCGCTTCTATTGTCGTCAGTATAGAACTTCAGTCTTATGTTGGATGGTGCCATATGTGCTTTTCTTCTTTTGCTGAATGCTTCTGTGAGGTAATGACATATGTGCCCATAAAACTACTGAAATCGGTAAAAAAAATTGTAAAGCTATTCCTGTAACAGGCAGTTGAGGCCAAGACGTCGAGGCTCCCACATTTTCTAGACAATCGGCTCACAAATGACGGTGAGGTTGTCAAAATTACTTGCCGGCCCCCTTAACCCCCAACAAGATTCCTGGTACTCATTTCTGTTAGAGGCCGAATTGACCCTCGGGCTATAATGCAGCTGGGAGGATTAGGTCAATTGAAAAATCTTCATTCCACCAATTGCTCCACAATCACCCTCACCTATCACCTGGGGCTAGTACAATAGGCCAGAAGTGGCCGCAGTACAAGGGACTTAGTCCCACCCCACTAGCAATAAAAAAGTATGAATGTAAACGTTATACAGAGGGAACATGGATGTTAGTGGAACAAAGGTGAAGATTTCCAGCTTCATCTGGGATGTAAGTGGTTTTCACTTATAATGTATACGGGTTTGTCGGTTCCGCTAGCAGTCAGAAGCTGCACGGAAGGACTCGGGGGGAGGAGCTTCCGACATTTCAGCCTGAGCGTCTCAACGATTTCCGGGAAGTTCTAAGATGATAGTATTGAATAATTATTATCACGCTCCAATGCTCCTCCAAGCAAAGTGTTACACAGAAACTTTTCAGTTTAGCAACAGAAATAATGGAACAAACTACTTTATATATTGCTTCCAGGTGATTGCCCTTATACAGCTTGTGGATGACCTTGCTGGATGTTACGTTCTATCTGTGTATACGCATTTCTAATTTCATCTGGATTTATAATTGTTTCTTCCTCGGGAGGTTTCTCGTAGACCAGGATCTGAGTTGTGTTTTGCGGTGCCAGCTCCATCTTTCTCTCTTCCAACTGTCGGTAGTATGTATACACTCCGGCCCACAGGTACGCCACGAACGCTGAAACAATTGATGAAATACTCCGAACCATCACGAACGCACCATGGTATGTATCCAACCACACACTACATACAAATCTAAAAACTCCTTACTTAACAGAAGTCATCCGAGAAAACAGCACCAAGTACTTCAACAAACTAGAAAATCACTCCAACCCACTTCTTCAACCACTACTTCAACCTCACCAAAATCGAAAACTCAAAAGAATTTGGCCACCAGATCTAAGGAACTGAGGGGAATATCACTGGATGTTTATTCTTCTCACGCCATGAAGAGTGTGCAATTAGCTTTTATACTGTACACCAATCAGCTCATTCACTTATAGGTTGTNGGAGGAGATACGTTCCTCCGAAACGTCGGTTAACACCACATATACACGGTGCCAAATCCCAGAAGACTGCTTTCTTCTTAATGTTGTGTTGCTCATATGCCTAACGAACCAAGTTAATAATATTTTCATAATGAATGTTGCCTATTCAACGAATTATGCGGACAAGTGTACCGCTCTCATTAATTCTGCACGTAAATTATTGCGTCAATGTTTCTTCGTCTGATTACAAAACTTCTAAGGCACATATTCACGGGTTGACTTATTCACCGAATCCATGTGAAATTGTGGTCATATTTTATGCTAACAGAGTGCGTTAGGGTTACATATATATATATATACTGACAGCCTCTGTGGTCTAGTGGTCAGGGTTCCTGGCTACAGATCCAGAGGTCCGGGTTCAGTTCCCAGTGTTAGCAGATTTTCTGAGAAGTAGTGGGCCTGGAACGGGGTCCACTCAGCCTCGCGAGGATAACTGATTAGTATTTCAAGGAAATAACTAAACCCAGATTAACGGCTGTGGGGATTCATTACGCTGACCACGCGACACCCTCTAGCCACTAAAGTTAGCACTAACTTTGCCAACAAGCGACGATCGCTCGGTCGGTATAGTTCGCTTGCGGACCAAAACCACGGAGTTTGTTTTGTTTGTTTTTTACGGTATACTGCTACCCACCACATAGGCTATGCATGTATCTGAGTACGGATGGAAGAGTTTCACGGAGCGGGTGGATACAATGTTCTCACACTGTAAAGCTTCTAACTTGTATTCGCGTGGTCAAAATTTCGAATCTCTGCCCCAACACCGTCTATCCTGATTGAGGTTTCCATGGTTTTACTTTGGCTATGCAGGCAGCTTTCGGGATAGTATCTCAAATTATAAACCAAAAGATTAATATTACGTGTATTTTGTGGATTGTGGCGGCGTGTAGAACACAATCTCAAATTTTCACCTCGTAACAGCCTCAGTACTATAAATTAAAAGAAATTGTACTTAACCATTAAAGGATACAGGCTGCTCAAATACGGGTCAGCGCTAAATAAACACAAACTTTTAAAAAATTCAATAATATATTCTTTTCATTTTCTCTCTCATTCGACGTGTATTAGAAATAAAATGGAAAGAGAAGGGTACCGAATTCTGGGTTGCAATGCCGTGTAGTTTAGAGACAGCCTCTCATTTCGGAGGAACATATCGACCCCATCTTCAGGGTAAAAGTATATCGAGCAAGAGAACAACAGCAGGCAGCAAGCTGATTAACTGTTAGAACATGAAAACGCAGGTGATATTTTCTTTTGAAACCTGGGATTTTCACCACACTACACGGCGTTACGACTCTGAAGTTCGTACTCTTCAAAACCACACTCGCGAGAGCCTCAGACTGAACAAAATTATGTGTTACTGTTATGAGAGATGATTTTCTGATGACTGAAGTAAGGAGACCGCGGTTTGGCCACAAATAATTAACATATCTACAGTACTGTAATGTTCCGCCATAGCTCAAGTGGTTAGTCGCTAGCTTCCCACCGTGGCGGCTCGGGCTCGATCCCGGGGTCTGGTCAAGTGGGATTTGTGGTGGACAAAGTGTCGCTGGGGCAGGTTTTCTCAGAGTACTTCGGTTTCCACTGCCAATCTTCATTCCACCAATTGCTCCACAATCACCCTCACCTATCATCTGGGGCTGGTACAATAGGCCAGAAGTGGCCGCAGTACAAGGGACTTAGTTCGCACCCCACTAGCAATAAAAAAAGAAGGATCTTATTCACAAGCTTACCTGTTACCAGTCCTCCAATCAGCAGCGTCAGAATACCGTAGCCGATCATCGCCTCGCGGAAGAGGACTATGATTACGACAAAGAGGAATATGATAACAATAATTATAACGATAAATTGAATCAATATGTACGGCAGCATAAGTACAGGTTTCTCCTGAAAATAAATAAAGAAAATAATCACTTCTCTGTCCCGAATGGATACAATGTTCTTAATGAATTAAATATGAAAGAAATGTGACATGGAAATTCTGAAATGATCAGTTGCAACAAACTGTCAATCTGAGGGTGAGAAATAACATTGCCTTGCAAAAGCCTGCGTTTTCATGCACAAATTACACTGAATACACAATTCTCAATCGTCTTTCCTGTATAGAAATATATTCGTTTCGCTAGGACTTCAATAATATCTATGACAGATTTCGGAAGAAGAGGTTATGTTTTATGTGCCCATGTAGAAGTACTGCCCTTTGCCATATCAGAGTAATAAACAGCCTCAAGTCTTCATACATGCGAGGATACCTCAGTTATGGTGAAGAGAACACATTTAGGTTATATGTAAATATACTAAATTAACAAAAAAAGTTTTATATATATATCGCAGAAATGATTTAAATATATTATATATATTTCTGATTGTAATATTTAAAAATAATGCAGAGTTTTTAACTTTGCCCATGAACTTATTGGTAACAAAATTCATTGTAAAAATTTGTCTTTATTAACTGTTTAGTACATTTAAGTCGTATCTACGAAGCCTTGCTTATTTCAATCATCTAGCTTAGGGGCGAAACATTGAAAGCACAAATTCAATACCTACCTACCACTCGGCGCTACAGCCCTGGGTGAGCCTTGGCCTCCTCTACAACCAATCTCCACAACCAATACGTGCTGGCATAGGAATGGATCCACGCATGATGACCCAAGGCTGGTTGTTAGGTTTCTGAACAAAATTATTTTTTCAGGATGAGGTTGTGAGCATTATGCTTAACCCCAAACCTGTGGGACCAGGGCATGTCTCTTAGTCTTGGCTCTACCCTTTGACTTTCCGGCATGGGTGATCCTACTGGTAGTTAAACTACCGCCGACATAGCTCTCCAGGTCTCAGAGTCACGCAACCCCCTCCACTACGACAAGTTGGAAACATCTTGGGGGTCACAGACTCAACAGTTTATCATAAAAACCATGCACCGGAATGGTTTTTGAGGCAGAGAGAAAGAACGGACCGATGGACAAATATTTATGGTTTGGAAGCCTGTAATAATTTCCACGAATAATGTTTCAATATTTCTTAATCTCATATAAGAAGACGGTCTAGAAAGCCGAGATTAACGGCTGTGGGGATCCGTTGCGCTGACCACGTGACACTCTCCATCTGCAAAAGTTAGCACTAACTTCGCTGACAAGCGGCGGTCGTTCGGTCAGTGTGGTTCGCTTGCGGACTACAGACCACGGATTTATACTAGAAGACGGTTGCCTTTATGCTTCTTAATGCCACAATGAATCACTTACGTTCCATACACCATATATGAGAAGCCCATGGACGAAGCCATGCACCACGTATCCGGCAAATCTGGTCACGAGAACTTCTCTGGAGTCTGTAATATGAATAAACACAATTTGCAAAGCTGCATAGAAGAATCGCATACGCTATTTGCTGATAAGAGACGCGATAGCTCAGTCGGTATTAGGGACGGGCTACGGGCTTGTCTGCCGGGGTTCAATTCACGGTAGGGGCAAGAGATTTTTCTCCGCTTCACAGCGTCCAGACTGGCTCTATGGACCAGAAAATGAGTACCTGGCGCTTCTTCCTTGGGGATAAAGCAGCCGGGGATTGAAGCTGACTACTTATATCCCTGGTTTATGCTAACCGTCTTACAGTGTATACACTTTTTCACCTTATTCTTCACTTCCACACTACATGTTTCAGCACTCAGGTGTCTTTATGCACGTTAGATTATTGTACTGCATGCCATGATGTCTTCATTCTAAAATGACTAAAATCTGTATTCGTCACATACCCAGCAGTACAACGCATGCAGTAACAGGAGCAAAATACAAGACAGAACACGATACACAAATATATGTAGGAAGAATGCTCACATAAAAGAGGATTGGCGTAATTCACGTGTTTGAGTGCGACGTAGGATGAATCCTGAAAAGTTTTATTATTTAGAATTCATCGTCCTATATGACGAATACAGATTTTAGTCATTTTAGAATGAAGACATCATGGCATGCAGTACAATAATCTAACGTGCATAAAGACACCTGAGTGCTGAAACATGTAGTGTGGAAGTGAAGAATAAGGTGAAAAATTGTATACACTGTAAGACGGTTAGCATAAACCATGGACATGAGTCAGTGCAACAGGACGCTAAAATATAACATACTTATATCACTCTGGTGTCGAGATCAAGGATGATGTAGCTATACCTCCATTCACCATAAGTCTTCACGGCATAGAGGTTACTTAATTAGGACCAGGAAAAACTTTACCTTTTTTCACTTGCTGATATTGAACTGTATAATAGTTCAGAGACATCTCGACAACGGGGCTTCGTTATACTTACCAATATTGTGTTAGATATTGACTGTTGTCTGAGGGCTTTGAAATGCTACTGGGAAAAGATGAACGGATGAACCTGATTTTCTAAAGCCCTACAATTTTTGTGTTGATCACTGGACCCAATAACAAATAATTGCAACTAGCTGTTGCATCAGAGGGCTGTTTCGCTCACGACAGGAGAGCAGTGGGGCATCTACGTAAGGATGAAATTGGAGCTGAAAGGCCGATTGGAAACACAGCGCCTAATTTGAAAATATACATTTACGCCTGACCTCTGGATTTCGCTTGCGGAGGAATATGGAATTAAATATCCGGGTAGTGTTTACACTTTACTGTGGGCAGAAGGGTGATGTACTATACCTGCACAATGAGGAACTTCATAACTTATACACTTCGCCAAGTATAGTTAGAATGACGAAGTCGAGGAGAATGAGATGGGCAGGGCATATAGCATTAGTGGGAGAAGAGGAATGCATGTAGGTTATTGATGGAAAAACCAGATGGAAAGAGACCACAAGGAAGACCAAGGCGTAGGTGGGTGGACAATATTAAAATGGATCTTAGAGAGATAGGATGAGATAATATAGATTGAATTGATCTGGCTCAGGATAGGGACCAATGAACACGACAATGAACCTTCTGGTTCCATAAAATGCTGGGAAGTCCTTGAGTCGTTCCACAATTGGCGGCTTCTCAAGGAAGGCTCAGCTCCATGATCGAGTGAGTGGGGGTGATGTACTATAACTAACGCACTTCTGTATTACACGAGGTTATAATGGCAGGTTTGATGTGAGCTGATTTGACCACACCCCTTCTCGGCTGTCGCTTTGTGATACAGAACTCAATTTCACGGAAATTTTTTGATACGTCATCAAAGGATGTGTTGCTAAGAAAGCTATAAATAAGGTCAATATGTCCCTGTGACAGGCCGTGGCGCCCCATAGGGTTGTGAGACGTCGAGGATCTTACATTTTCTAGACAATCTGTTCACGGGTGGCGGTGAGGTTGTCAGCTTTACGCGCCGGCTAACCGCCCTTTACACCCAGGAGTTTTCTTGGTACTCATTTCTGTTAGAGGCTGAGTTAACCTCCAGGGCCATAGTGCGGCTGGAAGGATTAGGTCAAATGAAAAATCTAATGATCTCAATGGGAACCGAACCCGCGACGTTCCGTCCTGTAACACAGTGCCGCTAGCAAAATTTTTTTCTTAAATATATTCGAGACGCAATGAAAATGTAGGAAGAAAAATGTAGTCAACGAATTCAGAAAGTTTGATACAAATACCGGAACAAGGAGCAATGAAGACAATAAAACATGGAATAGACGGCGGACGATACAGAAATAATCGTAAAGTTACCCTTACAAGCGCATGGGGCTTCAACATAATAACAATGCAGGTCACGTGACTTCGTAAGTGGCAATGCATTGTTTGAGGCGATATTTTCGGCTAGGACTGTGTTTCCCAAACGGTGTTCTGTGGAACCCCGAGGCTCAACTAACTGAAGGCAAGGGTTCCGCAAGGAACTTCCATTATACTTCTTTTGGCTTATTTTGGACTTCACCCATCGTCCGGTATATAAAAGACAAAAAAAAAACGACGTTTCGGAGACTGGATCTGTCTCCGTCTTCAGGTGGATAGGGAAGGGTAAACCTACTCATTTGGGCCCCTTAGAAAGAGCTAGTCTCAGTCACTGGACCAGTGGGCCCAACTGAGTAGGTTTACCCTTCCCTATCCACCTGAAGACGGAGACAGATCCAGTCTCCGAAACGTCGTGTTTTTTTTTGTCTTTTATATACCGGACGATGGGTGAAGTCCAAAATAAGCCAAAAGAAGTACAGTATACACCATTGTCAGAATCCTTTCAAGTCTAACTTCCAATATCTTAGAAAAATTATAATTTAAATTTTGCTATTCTAAACTTCACTTAAAATAATGTTATTTTGGTGCACCCAGTTTTCCGAAACTTAAATTCTCAAATTATACAGCATAAACATAATACAGGAACGGACTAAATATGACGCCAGTTTTGAGACTTCAGCTTTATAAAATCAAGCCAAACACACACACAAAATAGTTTATGAAGTTTATAAAGCGAACCGCCTTAAGGAAACAACCTGATTAATAAAACCCAGAGGCTGTGTAATAACTCAGGGGGTTAGTGGCAGGCTTCCTACAGCATCGGCCCGGGTTCGAGCCCAGGTCAGATCATGTGGGATTTGTGGCGGACTAAGTGGCAGTGGGACAGGTTTTCTCTGAGTACTTCGGTGTCCCCTGCCAATTCTCATTTCACTGACTGCCCCATATTCATCATCATTATCATCCGGGGCTGGTACAGTAGGCCAATAATTACCGACGTACACAGAACCGGGATAGCTCCGTCGGTATAGTGACTGTCTACAGGTTGGACGACCGAGGGGTCGGAGTTTGAGTCTCGGTAGGGTCAAGAACTTTCTTTTCTCCATGTCGTCCAGACCGGCTCTGGGGTCAACCCAAGCTCCTGTCCAATGGATACCGGGGGCTCTTTTTCCGGGACATAAAGCTGACCACTCACCTTCAGCTACTGCCGAGGTCAAGAAAATGTGGATCTATACATCAAATCCCCCATACGCCTTCTTGGCGCAGTGCTTAATTAGTTAAGCACAGTGACAACTTTACTTATTTTTACCATGTGGACTCAATGTCATCCCACCCCAAAGAAACAACAAAAAAAAAGTACCAACCACTTCAACACAAAATAGAGCCTTCAAATTGCTTCCGAAATTTCTTTCCATACATTTACAGAATACTGAAATATGGTAGAGGACTGGATAGTGTTTCTGCTAGTTGTAACGCATGCAGTTCTCATGGGCGTGCATCGACGTTTCGGAAGAACACGCTGTCTGGATTTGAGGAATCAGACACTTCAATCTTGGAGAAGGAGACAGCGTGCTTCTCCGAAAAGCCAATATCCGAACAACAAACAACAAACGTTGCTGTGAATATCTCACAACTTAAATCATCGATATATCATTACAAGCAGCACACAACACTAATAATTAGCTACACTAATTACAGACAGAGCTTAATGTGTCTACGTTACCTGTCGGAAAGAGCGAAGCATTTGCAGGGTTCTCTTCCTCGCAATACGACAATTTGACCAGGGCTCGAATACCATCCGCTGCTTCAGACAGCTGTGAAAGGAGACAAGAATACATTGCAGGCCTAGGTAGGGTCTCCAGGGAATACAAAATAACGGAAATACGAGTATAGTCCCTTAACCATATCCGTACCAAGTGCTACATTGTAAGGTAAGAAAGGGCAAAATGGTAAGCTAGTCCGCGTGCTTAATTAATTAAATAATATGTTGTGGGGGTGGGGGTACAGTTATATCTCCACCATTCTTAACCTCAGCATTAGATGGAGGCGAGTGGTCAGCTTCATGCTCTGACACCCTTTAACCTAGGGACAGGGTCCCGGATAACCATCGGATTGTAGGCAGGATGGGCCAAAGTGCCGGTCAAGACGTTGTAGCGGAAAGAAGCACCTTTCTCTCTTGGCGGGAATGGAAGCCAGCTTCTCGACCGTCAGACACTTAATCTGTCACTATAGCGACTGAGCTATCCCGACTCGCAAGGGTTACGTATTTCAACTACAAAGGTTTATAATATTATTTTGGTCTTCGACGGTATCTCACATCTTAAGCAGGGAAAATTAAGGAAGAAAGTTCAGCATGTTCAACGAGATTTTTGTTCTTATTTTGTACTGAAAAGGTAAAGCTATCCCTGCAACAAGCCGTAAAGCCCCATAGGGTTGTGAGACGTCGAAGCTCCCACATTTTGTCTAGAAAATAACAGATGGCGGGAAGGTTGTCAGCCTTGCCCGAAGGAAGATTCCTGGTACTCATTTCTGTTAGAAACTCAGTCGAACCTAGGGCCATAGTGCGGTCGGAAAAAAATCCAATGACCTCGTCGGGATTCGAACCCGCTACCTTCCGACTTGTATCATAGTTCATCAACCAATTATGCCACTGCGTGCCCCTCCTATTATATATTAAAGTATAATTTATTTAACTTTCTATTAATAACAACGCGGTGATGATGCATCATCAGAAACGATTTAGACGTTCATACGAATGAAAAAAGAATCCCGACGTAGATTGTGATAATCGCGAAACTGAAAATGGTGATAGTGATTCTAGTATGGTGTGGTGACAGAAGGGATCATACCAGTCCAATCGCAGCCATGACGAGGATTCCAGTCTTCAAGCTGCAGGAACAGCAGCAGAAATTGTAGTTCGGTACCAATGGAACACACTTTATTGTCAATGTCATGATTTCAGGCTATCCCCCGCAACCAGAACCTTGAAGAAAGAAAACTGATTATTATTTTGATGCAATTAGGAATATACCACAAACATATTCTTAAAAAACACGTGAAATGGATATCAGCTTGGGTTTAGGATATTGTCATATTTTTAGGGGTGTCTGACTTATTAGACGGGATTTTGGATTAAATGATTTGATTTATTGACACATTCAGCTCTTAAGTACGAGTAACACTGAGCTATCTCTGACCTACTCCCGTTACAGATCATTAGGATTCGCTACGTCTTCTCTTCTACATCATCTTCGACTGCCGCCTCCTCAGTTCTCAAATAACTTCTCACTTGGAACTCCGCAACTCTTATTCATAACAAATTTGCACGGACTTAAGAGAAAACACTGTTTCCAACAATATCCCTATTTCTGTGTGTTTACCGATCTGTTGCCTAGAAACGAGTTCTTCTATTGTTGTGCGCGTATTCATCGCCGTCGAGTCGTTGCCTAGGAATGGACGTCTACTCTGGCTCCACTATTCGGTTTTCAGGTGTTATTTCACAATATTCTACGACCTCGGCGCGATACCATTCCGTGGATGTAAACTCGTGGTACGTTTAAAATGTACTGCATACATTATTATTTAGTTCAATAATTGATTTCCTATATGTAGACCTGTCAGTTAGTTGAATGGTTCTCCATAAATTATATTCATGTCCATTTCCACACTTATTTCTTTATTGTTTACTTAGCAGCACTTTCAATAACTCACACTTCAGTGCTATTCAGATTATACTGATGTATTTTGCAAATTCCTTCTGCCTGGGCGATATTCATTCGTTTGAAGATAATCAGAAATCTTCAACACAGACTTAAGATATTTAAATTTATTTATAACTTACCTAACGATGCCTAGCTCAGAATATATAGTGTCCAATGACAGAATGACTAGTAAATACTGACATGGAGGTAAGGACGGAAGGAGCACTGGACTAATGTTAGGCATTACCTCGATATCTTCCTACAGGGACTGATATTACTGCATATTATCTCTGAGTATGTCTGTATTGAGGATAAGATTTGAAAGCAAGACCTCCGGAGAACAAAGCAGGAATGATAATTATTATTTTCATACTGAAGTTTAAATAATTATTTAAACTTCAGTATGAAATGATTATATGATTATAATGATTATAATCATTTCAAAATATTAAATAACATAATGTAATATCTGCCGTGTCAGAAGCAACAGCAAAATCTGGACTCTAGTCATTTAAGGCCGCGCCATAGCTCAAGAGTTTAGTCGCTGGCTTCCCACAGTGGCGGCCCGGGTTCTAGCCCGAGTCTGGTCATGTGGAATTTGTAGTGGGCAAAGTGGCTCTGGGGCAGGTTTTCTCCGAGTACTTCGGTTTCTTCTGCCAATCTTCATCCTACCAATTGCTTCACAGTCACCATCATGTATCATATGAAACTGGTACAATAGGTCAATAGTGTCTGCAGTACCAAGTGGGCTCAGTCTGACCACACTAATAATAGTAAAAATACCGTATTTACGCATGTATAGGCCGCGTGCGTGTATAGGCCGCAGCACAATTTTCAGACAGAAATTATAGAAAAAATAATTTTCTTGGAATATTATTTCAGGAGTAGAACACCCTGTATTACTAATTATGAATATAATTTTTTTTAAATGAAGTGTGATTTCGAATATTTCGAATATAAGCCGCACCCCAGTTTTCCTCTTGAATTTTTGGCAAAAAATGTGCGGCCTATACAAGCGTAAATACGGTAATAATAATAATACTGATCTAGCACTATAGCAATAAAAATGTAGTTTCTTTAATCACAAGAGTAATTACGTATATTTTCACTGTAAAGTATTGCTGTATGTTTAAGAAGTAATCATTACTTAAATTACAATCATATCATGATAATTCTTTTATAAAATAAGTACGTTTGTCACCCGGATCTGAAGTTGGAACTTGGTCACAGCGATGCCTCCTCCTTGCTCAGATGCAATCACCGCACAGACTGAACGCCTGTCCCCTTCTGCGCAAGATACTGTACAGTCAGCTGCAATGAACTTGCAACACTTTCAAATGAAATTCAATTTTAATATTTATGATATACTTGTACGTAATTATTTAAAGTTGTATTTTGAAACAATGAATACTTATTCGAAAGTATCACAGAAGTATTCTTAATATATGCCTACACCATTCTCTGTAGAAATACTGGAGTGTAATCTGAAGACGACAAAAATTAGAACAGGTTTCTGAATACATGGCCTTTTACATTAAGGGGAGAGCAGAAATTGAGGATACCTAAGACGAGCACGCTTCGGATAATACTATTTGAATCCAAGACACAAGAAATTATGGGTTAATTAAGAAAATTACATAATGAGGAACTTTGAAAATTTGTACTCGTCATATATTATTTTTCTTCAAGTATAATTAGAATGATGGAGTCAATGAGGATGAGGTGGGCAGGACATGTAGCACGAATGGGGAGAAGAGGAATGCATATAGGATATTGGTGGAAAAACCAGAAGAAAAGAGGCCACTGGGAAGACCAAGACGTAGGTGGGTGGACAATAGTAAAATGGATCTTAGAGAGATAGGATGGGATGGTATGGATTGGATTGATCTGCTTCAGGATAGGAACCAGTGGAGGGCCCTTGTGAAGACGGTAATGAACTTTCGGGTTCCGTAAACTGCTGGGAAATTCTTGAGTAGCTGTATAATTGGCGGCTCTTCAAGAAGGGCTGAGCTCCATGAGTGAGTGAGTGAGTGAGTCATGTTATTTACGAGTACTTACTCTCAGGAGGGATGAAGTAATAGGAGGCTAGAGGAAACGTCATTATTAAGAGCTTTTACACTTGACCAAATGCAACTAAAATGATTAAGTCAAAGAGATAAGGTGAGCAAAGCATGGAGCACGCATTGGAGAGAAAAGAAATACCTTCAGAGTTATGGTGGGTAAGCCAGAATGAAAGATACTACTACCTATATATTTCCTGTTGTTCTAAGTTGGAGCGTAGGGCATGGATGAAACGCTACCTTTCACTTCAGATTCTTGAATTTAGGCGGTCATTAGGACTCACTGGACGGGGGATCAGCCAGACGCAAGGCCGCTACCTATACAGGGTAACACAAACGCAGACATCCATGCCTTAAGTGGGATTCGAACTTACAATCTCAGTGTTCGAGCTGGTGAAGACAGTTCATGCCTTAGAGTGGGCAGCCACTGTGGTCGACAAAGAGACCACTAGGAAGACCTGAAAGTAGGTGGGAAGATGACATTAAAATGTATCTTAAATCAATGGGATGGGGCGGTATATACTGGATTCATCCTTCTCTATATAGGGACAAGTGGAGGTCTCTTGTGAACGTAGTACTGAAACTTTGAATTCCATACAATTTTGAAAAATTACTGAGTATCTGAATGATTGGCGACTTCTCAAAGACACGGCTCCAAGGAGTTAGTTAGTTAGTTAGTTATCCAAATATTATTAGGATTATGAAATCAAGGAAGTTAAGATAGTCATGGAATGCAACAGCCACAGAAGAGATAAGAAATGCTTACAAATTTGACTTGGAAAACTTGAAAGGACGGGACGACTACGAGGATATGGGATCAGATGAGAGGATAACGGAGCCTAGAGAAAACGGGAGGAAGGGTNCTTACTGCAATCCTGAGCCCGATTAATCAAGTCCTCACCCTGAAGAAAGCAGTCTTCTGGGATTTGGCACCGTGTATATGTGGTGTTAACCGACGTTTCTTATACTTTTTCTTCTACCCTGAAGATGGGGGCGATACTTTCCTCCGAAACATCGGTTAACACCACATATACACGGTGCCAAATCCCAGAAGACTGCTTTCTTCAGGGTGAGGACTTGATTAATCGGGCTCAGGATTGCAGTAAGTAAAGGGCTGTTATGAAGACGGTTTCCATAAGAGGCAGCTGAGCCAGTGTCAGTATCTGGAGGAAGACTCTGCTCCATGAAGTTACTTCGGGACACTATGTGAGTCCACGGTTTGTACAAACAAGTGTTTCTCAGACAGAAATCAATGCGCACATCGAGTTCGGAGGCGCCAGACAGTGTGTCTCCGGTAGTGAAACTTCCAGATGATGTCTGATGAGCTGCGGAACAGGAGTATTCGGTGTCATCCTGGGTTTTCAGGTTTGTTAACCTCAGAGATTTTACTGTTCATCAATAAATTTTCACGGTATTGCAACTCATAATACCATAACGAACATAATTCCTGTACATGAAGTTCTAACAGATTATCAAAAGTTTAAAATGTATATGCTTCTAGGTAAAAAGTAATTTACGTTTTTAAATAAAATCGCCTTAAAAATTAAATCGAATATAGAGTACATGATAGTACAATTATGACAGAAATACTGTGTATCAAATTGCATCACAATATGTGAATGAACTTGAGAAATACACTCAGGTTAATTTATAATTTTCATTATGTGGCCCTTGAAACTTATCAAAATCAACATATACAGCAAAATGGCCCGACAGAATTTTGTATACATCTATCATACCTAGTTTCACATGTATTTTCTTCATGGGCTGGTAGTACTTGTGAACATACGGGAAAATAATTGCACTCCAATACATGTTAATTTTACAAGCTAATGAGTAAGCGCGATCATTGTTATCTATTTTCTTATTTTAATAAAAGTGTGTGGTATTTTACTTCATAAACAATAAAGACATTATTATATTAAACTAAACCATTAAACCAAAGTCAAAATCAAAGTTATGTTACGAACGACGAAAAGTCGGCCACTCTATCTTGGTGTCAAGTCGCGATTTTGTGCCAAAGACGAGATTTTCATTAATCTGCTGTGGGTTTATTGATGTAGTGCGCCCTCTTTGATGATAAGAGGGTTCTATCGTTTACAAATGCTGCTGGTCCTCGCCAGAGCTGTCATTCTCGAGTCCGAGTCCCACGGGACTCATGAACACGAAGGCGCACATGTTGAAGTTATTTAGCATTTTGCAGTATTAATTTGATGTGTCACAAAACTTTTTGAGTTACAGTTTCATATTCCGTGAGCAAATTATTTTATTAATTTCGATTTGAAAATTATAGGCTACGGAACCCCCGTCAATAATTTAGAATCTCCCTGTATTACATTTATTTTTAGTCTCCAAATTAAATGTAGATGTATTCATACATACAAAATAAATTTTCCTTCAGATATAATACAGTTGCTGTACTCTCATTTCAACTGGCTTCATTATTCTTGCACTGAGGAACATTTGCGAAATGCATTATGAGGAATGTAAAGAAATACAAGATGCAAATCGGCCTGAAGTATAATCCTTATTACTAAGTAACGTGATTATATATTTATTCTGTGACATCAGTGAGCACAAGAAAATATATCTACTGTCATTTGAGGGGAATAATTTATGTATACAATACTATATTTAAGCATCCTGCTGCACCCATACGATAAATGATAAAATGATACAAAGTCCGTCCCAAGTGCAAACAATATATTATGTGTCCTTGATCTTGCTCCTCTACACTACATGTTTCGGCCTCAGACGGCCATCATCAGGTGTATAACACTCACGTTGCTGTCACACTGCACCCAGCCCAAAATTTAACATTTAAAACACTTTCCTTGTTATTATCAACATCAGCGGCACGCACACAGGAAGACTACACAGGATAACACCTATACAGTGTGGAAACAAGAACTAGCCGCTGCAGCACTTTAGACATAGGGCGAGTAACCCTAACAATTTTAAATTTAAAATTTAGAGAAAAATTTTAAAGGATTTTAAAATTAGAACTAAAGATTTTATAGTGCTACTACAGGAACGTCAAAATTAACGTGTGTAAAATAATCTACAAACCAGACAGATATCAACGAAGTAGATGTTGATAATAACAAGGAAAGTGTTTTAAATGTTAAATTTTGGGCTGGGTGTAGTGTGATAGCAACGTGAGTGTTATACACCTGATGATGGCCGTGTGAGGCCGAAACATGTAGTGTAGAGGTGCAAGATCAAGGACACATAATATATTGTTTGCACTTGGGACGGAATTTGTATCATTATATCATTTATTAATTTATGTATGATTAGAGGTTTGAAGTAATAAATAAGAGACCTATGCATTGTCGTTTATGGCATTTTTGTAAGGCAGAGAGAGTGGCTATGTCCAGTACCATTTTGTTTTTACGAAGAAGCTGTATTCATATTTGGTCAACTGTAGGAAAGTTGCACTGATTTCCTTACTTTTTACCTATGCCATGTAGACATATGGGGGAGTGAAGGTATAGCTCCACCATTTTTTATCTTAGCACTAGATGGAGTTGAGTGTTCAGGTTCAGGCCTCGGCCACTTTACCCCAGGGAAATTTCTTTAAGTACTTTTGGGATAGGAGACTGGGTGAAACCGAGAACCGGTCTAGACGACGTACTTACACATACAGGTTAAATTCAAATCGGAGAATGTGCCAAAGGGCAGTGTTGACGCCACACAGATAATTCTGCGTGTTTTAAGTCTTCTTTCTTTAATTAACAAGAAAACACTAACTTATTAACTCCATGGAGCTGAGTCCTGCTTTAGACGTCACCAATTACTCAGCCTATGAAGAGATTTAAAAGATTTTATGGAACCCAAACATACATCACCGTCTTCACAAGAGCCCTCAACTGGCCCATATCACGAGCCAGATCAATCTGGTCAAGATCATCCCATCCTATTTCTCTAAGATACATTTTAAAATCATCTCGCTACCTAAGTCAAGGTCTTCCTAACAGTATCTTTCTTTCTGGATCTCTCACCAAAATCATATATGCATTCCTCTTATGCTCTGTGCGTGCTACATGCCTTGTTCATCTCATCCTCCTTGCCTTTATCAACTCTAATTATGTATGATAAAGAGTACACGTTTTGAAGCTCCTCATTGTGCATCTTTCTCCAAACTCATGTCACTTCACCTCTCTTCGGCCCAAACATTCGTCTCAACACGCTCCTCTCAAATCTCTACAGTCTATGTTCTTCCCTTAATGGCGGAGACACAACAACGAAACACAACCCTGTTATAGTTAGCGTTCCATATATATATATATATATATATATATATATATCATCATCATCATCAGTAATCTGTCAAGACGACAGGTCCACAGTCTCTTCCAAAACAATTCCTCCACTTAATGCGATCTAGAGCTTTCTCCTTCAAAGTACAGTATCCTCTTCTGTCCCCAAGGTCATCCAGCATCTTCTTACGTCTTCTTCCTCGTCTTCTTGTCACTTCTATCCGCCCATCTATCTTTCCTTCGATAGCTTCTTTTAGAAGGCAGTTTCTGCGTAAAACATGACCAATCCAATTAGCCTTCCGTTTTCTTATTTCATGTAGGATATTCCTCTGCTCACTGACTCTAATTAACACTTCTTCATTTCTCACATAATCGGTCCAACTGATCTTCTCCATCCTTCTCCAACACCACATTTCGAAACTTTCCAGATGTTTCTGATCTACTGCCCTAAGTGTCCATGTTTCAGCCCCATACAGAGCTATGCTCCAAATGTAGCATTTCACTAGTTTCTTCCTAAAATTTAAGTCCAGTTTGCTGGTAAAAAGATTCTTCTTCTTGCTAAATGCAGCTTTTGCTATTCAATTAAAATTTTTGATAAGTGGACAGATTTTATATCACTTGACATGGAGACTATGCCACAAAGACCATCTCAATTGTTTACTCGTCTAATTTCCCGCCGTCAATAATACCAATATGGCTGCCTCGCGTTTTGGGTCTTTGTTTTCGCAAATGGCTTATGTAAGAACTTAAGCAAAACAATGTAACATAATATAATATTAAAAAACTCCGTGGCCTGTAGTGCGCAAGCGAACTAAACCGACCGAGCGATCGCCGCTTGTCGGCAAAGTTAGTGCCAACTTTTGCGGATATAGAGAGTGGCGTGGTCAGCACAACGGATCCCCATGGCCGTTAAACTCTGTTTTCTAGACCGAAGCCGCTACTTTTCCATTCAAGTAGCTCTCCAGTTATGCTCACGAGGCTGAGTGGACCCCGTTCCAGACCCACTACTTCTTAGAGTATCTGGTAACGCCGGGAATCGAACCCGGGACCTCTGGATCTGTAGCCAGGAACTCCGACCACTAGACCGCAGATGCGGTCACATAATATAATATAATATGGATAATACCAAAATTCAGACGGACTAATACGATGTATATTTTCTTTCTCTTAATTAATTTTCATTATTCTCCTAGACATGAAATTATAACCTAACAGAATGATGTATACTTGTGGTGAGATTTAAAACTGTCAAGCATGATATAGTATTCTATTTCTTAAGTGTTGTCAGTTTCATGGCCCGTACAACACGACTTCTCGTTCATTAATCATTGCATGAATTTTTCACCAATGGGCTGAAACATGGACACTTAGGGCAGTAGATCAGAAACATCTGGAAAGCTTCGAAATGTGGTGTTGGAGAAGGATGGAGAAGATCAGTTGGACCGATTATGTGAGAAATGAAGAAGTGTTAATTAGAGTCAGTGAGCAGAGGAATATCCTACACGAAATAAGAAAACGGAAGGCTAATTGGATTGGTCATGTTTTACGCAGAAACTGCCTTCTAAAAGAAGTTATCGAAGGAAAGATAGATGGGCGGATAGAAGTGACAAGAAGACGAGGAAGAAGACGTAAGAAGATGCTGGATGACCTTGGAGACAGAAGAGGATACTGTAATTTGAAGGAGAAAGCTCTAGATCGCATTAAGTGGAGGAATTGTTTTGGAAGAGACTGTGGACCTGTCGTCTGACAGATTACTGATGATGATGATAAAATATTACTGTGTAAAAGAAAAATGGTCTAGCCGTTCTTATAAGCAAAAAAATGTTAAATTTAAATTGGAACGTTCAGACTCGGAAGCGAAAGATTTCAAGTTCTCTATTATGGTATGACATAGACTGTACCTGTTTTCATCGTTGCGCTCTTCAAAATATCCGATCGCACTGCCGTCTTTCGAAGCCAGCTAAATGATTTGCTATATTATAGGAGAAAGCATATAGGGCATACTATGAATATTTGCAAACAAAAATATTCTTATAATGTACAGAAAATAATAAAAATAAATTTCTCTTCTTTCTTTATTTTCATGAAATTTACATCGACAGAACATTGAAAAATAAATGTCATTGCGTGTGGAGAAATTATTTGTTTATACTCAACTTGTGACAGTCGAACGGCACATGTAGCTGACTGGATACATTGTAGTTTTAGTGAATAAAGTTCAACAGATTTAGTTGCCATTAGGAAGTGCAGAGGCCCACTTAAATTCCTAATATGAAGAGCGCTCTAATTTTATAAACACAAGAACTATAAACCAATCTTTACAAAATGCTGAAATGGAAAATTTAAAATCGCGATCTATTCCAAAAATATTGGACACCCATTCGTTTGTCTTGTGCGTTCAGTAATATCGTGTGTAGTGATACAGCATCAGTAGGGCCTCTGTGTTCAAAAAGTGAAGTGAAATCCGTGAGGGCCCGCCTTGACTTGCGTCATTAATCTACAGAACAGGTCTCCAAATTTCGTTCTCCTAACTTCATGTTGTAGAATCCTCCTTGACAAACTCAGTCTCTCAGATAATCAAGAAATTAATCTTTTATGAAAGCCTAAGTTCTATTGTCATGTTTATCAGAGCCCACAACTACCCCTTATCCAGAGCCAGGTGAATCCAATCCACTCTTTTCCTTTTAAGAACCATTTTTATATTATCTTTCTATCTACGACCAGTTTTTCCGAATATTAGAGACCCGTCAGCTTTTTCGATTAAATTTCTGAAATAATGTTTACTCTCTCCCAAGCATAACATGATTTTACCACTCTATTAAGACTGAAGTTTATTATTCTGTATTCTTTTCCAGTCTCTTGTTACTTTCCCTCTCATGAGTGCAATAATTGAACAGATGATTACTCACTATACATATAGGGGCAGTAAAGTTATACGATCGCTTTCGGGAGGAGACGATTTCGAATTCCGGCCGGGACGTTATCATGACTGAGGGGTTTTCATTACTTTCCTCAGTCTTTTCAGGGTACTACTTCGATCAGGCCACCGTCACTTTCTTACAAATCATTCACAATTATTTATTCATCTATTAACCTATAATTCCATCTTACACAGTGTAACTGTTCACAGCGTTGTATTATAATCTACGAAGAGATATTATACGTAACACTAGTAATACTTGTTTCGCGCGCACACACACACGCAGTAACCCAGACATTACAAATGAACGCCATGTATTTTGAAGGTTTGGCTCATTCAGAATTATAGATGAAGTCAGACAATGAGGTTCTTCTATGTTTGAGTTTTACGTTCCCACACACAGCCCTGGTTAAGAAGACTTCGATCTTCCAGGTTGAAACCCCTTGTGATAAGTGTCCAACGACTTTTCGGAGGAACACTTATCTCCTTCTTTAGGCCTAAGGATTAAGTTGAGAAAGAGACCCATTATTTTGCTGGTTTCATCTCTGACTTACTCTTTCTGATAGAGGCGACATGTTCCTGCGAAAAGGAGGTGGACTTCTGCCAAACTGAATGACATTACAAACCGGGCAAATGTAGTTTCCTTCCATGTTGTTTTATTGCGTTTTGCTTTCGTGACGTGTTGTATATCCCGCTGTTGTTGCTATGGTGACAAGAGCACTGGCCTTTATGCTACTGTAGGTTACTCTTAGACGTCCAGAAACAGCCTGCTTCATGTTAACCATGATATGTAACAATTAAGTTGTCTTAGGTCTGGAAGTAGGCGTAAGGTTCAACACAGTTTAACATTCACTCAAGACACAAACACAAAGACTAACATTTCATTTCTTGTATCATAATCGTTCTTGGCTATCAATGTGCTATATGCTTTTAAAATTCTGTTATTGACAAGTTTGTCCATGATTACGTGGACCCATGTGTTATTCACTACCGGCCCCTGCGTCACAAGTCTCAATTAGAACAGGTTCAACTAATAAAGTATCTCTATACGTTATTGAAGTTTCATTAGTAACTATTCTCTTACCTTCGGAATACCATTCATTTTTCAGTCGAAACAGGAGAAAAGGTCCACAAATGAAGCAGATGCAATATATATATATATACTTAAGAACCGTTCAGTACTCTCTATGAGAAGTTTAAAAAATTAAAAAAATATATATTAAAATAAATAAAAACCACAAATTTTAGTTTACTTAATCCCAAAGAATGCTCTGTTCTAATATTTTAGTTATGTCCTGTCATACGTATTTCCTGTTAATTTTCATTACCAGAAATAGCAAGTCATAAGATCGCACCAGTTGGTCTACCACAAATACCAGAGTGATCTAAACATTCTAACATAATGATTACTAACACCTACTTTACTTAAATATTTCAATATGCATGGCGAATCTAGCAACAAGTATAGATTAATAATTACACAATTCACTTGTTCATATCTGTGCAGCTTTTCATTTGTCGAGATTCAGACTGTTTTCAACTTTCATGATATAACTTCAGAAAACTGCACTGAACAGTTGATCTAGATAGTATAATTCTAATTGGTGTGAATTTTGAGCCTGTACTTTTCACAAGATTTCAATACTTTTCATAGATAAAATAGAAGTCTTTTGTTTTAAATGATTCAGTTTGTCCCTTCCTGAATACAAATTCACAAATACTGCTAAAAATCACAATCCTTCTACAGGATACAGTGTAAATATATTATAAAACGTCGACTCAGTATGGGTGAAGACAAGGTGACGGAGCAAACCCACAAGTTCTGTGGCCTCTTTGGTAGATCCACAGGTCTTCATATTGCCATTTAAAGAATATGACAATTCTCAATGATGCTCGCAACTGTGTAGACATAACGAGAAAAATGCTTCATAGGCTTAACAATCTTATATAATCGGAAACATCTTGAACGTGAAGAAATTCCAGGAGTGAATTATTTTGTAACTTTGCCTTTGGGATCAAACGACTTAGCTCACTGGACCCTTCGTGAATAGGACTTCTGGTGCCAGGAGTAAAAATTATATTGTTGTTCCATTCGTATTAATACTGATAATGGAAGCAGCAAATATTCAGTATATTTGTCATGAGGTCACTAACAGACGAGGTTGTTTCCGTCGGCATCTGTCGGCAGTGGTCAAGGATAATAATAGCGTCAAATCCCAAAGTGTAATGCATTTCTGTTGAGGCCTGATAACACAGCAGATGGGTAGCACATTGCTGCTACTGGCGAAGGCAGCGCCACTAAGAGCTGTCTCCTGTAAGAATATGAGCTGTCCAAAATGTGGGCAGCCATGTGCTTCAGCACCATTCTTAGAGTTCAGAATTATCTTCCACATAATTCAGTCGCTTTGGAACTTTGGAAGAGTCCATGGAAAGCCAAAAGCATATCATTCCTACCGTGAGGAAGTTTCGAATAACTTCAATGCATCTTGGTTTATAAAAATTATGGACCAGCTTAAAAAAGCTGATGGAATTTGAGTGACACTGTGTACGGAAACTATGGCGCCAGAAATCTTGACAACAAGTTACGAAATAGAATTAAATAATTAGACTTATAATATGATCCTCGAGAAATAACAGCAGCAGTACTCGAAGAGAATTTTCAGATATCGAGAGTAGAACCCAGGCCTACATTCCGAAATGATGGACAGGATGAAGTTATTAGGGCCGACGCCAGAGTTCAGTCGTGTCACAGATATAATTTTCGGATTGCGGAAATAAATGTTCGGAGCTTGTTAGCGGGATAGATGAAAACTATATCCCAAAAGGAGTTTAGAGTTTTGGTTTTATGAAGGAAACAGAATCTTCGAAGGGCAAAAAATCTTCAGAGAAAGAATTTAGTGGGGACGGAGCAGAAAACTGAGATTAACTCCTGCAGCTAACGATGATGATGATGTACGTATTAACGAGTTTTTAATTATTGATTCACTCTCGTACTCTCCGTTACTCTTACTGTACAAAAGGCGCATCTTAGGTTGACACAGGTCCTCTGGCTGTAGGTCTAATACTTAAACTATAGCCTCTCACTCGAATAATCTAAAATTCCCTTTGATGATACTAAGAAGGAGCAGAGATCAGCGAAATATTTCAGATATACAGGGTGATTCTAAATTATTGTCGTACTTTCCATGGCCAATAATTTTCAAATCAGAAAAAACAAAGTAAAACTATCGAGGAAATATGAATGTGTAACTAAAAAGTTTTGATTTCTTATAGAATATGCTCTCCAGAGTGCTGAATAATTTTGACATGCGCTCCTTTCTTGGCATGTAAAAGTTCAAACTTATAGGCCACGGAAACGCCGACAATAATATACGTAGAATCACTCTGTAGTAAATCGATGAAGAAGAGTCCATCTTGAAACGCTAATAGTCGCTCAATTATTCGAGAAATTCCCGGCCTTTTATGGAACCCCATGATAAATTTCCAGATAGGTTTCCTCGCCTAATAACTACTCAGAACAAGCCTCAACCCTGCGTTTGGTTATTCTCGTTGTTGAGCATAGTCAATGCGTACATCGTGAATACAGCACCCAGGGCCGAATAATCGTCTTGCTTCTCCTCTGTGTGGTACATTCCGCTGTCTGCGCACTTCCTCATAGCTTCTGATGCTTTTCCACAAGTGCAACGGCGCTTCTCGATGGACTGCCGGTAGCAGTTGTACTGTGTCACCCACAGGTATGACGTCATCCCTAGAACACAGGTCAACCATTTCAAAACGTTCCCTTAGGAACCGAGTCGTTGATGATTTACAGGTATATCAGTGTGGGGAAAAAGTGAATACAACTATCCTGCAATATAAATGTGTGCCAAGTTTGTGGGGCCTGATTTACAGATATGGGGGGCCCCGGGAAAATTAAATTGTGGAGGCCTCTTTCCTATCAAATTAGTATAAAAATTAGGCCTAAAAATTCTTTGTTGTTGTTATTAGTTTTTATAATAACTAAAATAACTACTAATTTTCTTGATTTTTAGAAAGAAATTTTTTAAATAAAATTTTTGGATTGTATTTCTGTTTTGTGGATGATCCGTGCAGAACTGTCTTGTCGCTCCCCTCTTAAATCCGGTCCTGAAAATTTCACAGTGGTAGAGTTTACGTTGCTTAGACTGTACGTAGGTCTACATTTGTGTTTGACGATATTAACATTGTGAAGAATGCATTTATATCTTCGCCGTAAACAAGTATATTTGTTAACTTCAAATAGATTACATTTGGTCGAATAAAATGTTACAGATCATCCACACATGCCCTATCTCGAAACTCATTTAAATTCACCCTATTTACTCATATCCTTCGGGGGTATATTGTATGAAGTCATAAAAATTACTAAATTTTCGAAAAAAACTTAGTCAGAATCGATATAACGTGAAGCTACTTCCTTCCCCGAGAACTATCTTCCCGCCGTCTCGACACTCGAGCTAAGAGCGAATTACTAAAAAATGTTAAAGAATTTTACTACTTCGATATGAAAGATACTCAGAAAATAATAAACAAATTAATGAATTATTAAATTTTGCTTAATGAGTGACAGTCACGGAACCGCATGTACAGTTACAACTCCTCTTACCTATGAAGGCAGCACAAATCGTGACCACCAGGAATCCGTAACCCATGGAGCTACCAGTCGAGACGAGGGCGAGCATTGTGTGTAGTACTGCTAGCAAAGTGACCAACAGTAACTGCATGAGCAAGTATGGGAGCATCAGAACTGGGATCTCCTATAAAAATGAGTCACGGATATTAACACAATTAAGCAGCAAAGAGAGATCAAAGGATGCTAAAAATAAACTGGCAAAGCTACACATATTCAATTTTATGAGGAAATATCAGCTGCTTCGCTTGTGTATGGAAGTGAAAACAGGTCCCTGAATACATCTGAGAAGATGAGAACTGAAACAGCAGAAATGCGTGTAGATTCTGAAAAAGTTCTGACGATGGTGTGGCAGTAGGGACATTTTCATCAGTGGGAGCAGAGATTAACTCTCCATCTGGCAATTACCCATAATTCTTCCGGATATACGGCCAAATTTATTGTTTTGTCTCATCGTTGTACCCAAAAGAGGCAAATATGCCACGATATGGACAATTTTATATTTTAGATTCTGCTGAAACAAAAATAAACCCTTTTGTTTGACCTTGGCCGCTTTTCCATTTTTCCTGATTTTTGCACAGTTGGTAGGACTCCTTGGATGGGGGATCAGCCCGTCGCAAGGTCGTTACTTGCACACAGGAGAGCACAAACACAGAATAAATGCACACAGACATCCATTCCTCAAGTTGGATTCGAGCCCACGATCCCAGCGTTTGAACGGGCAAAGACAGTTCATGCCTCAGACCGCGCGGCCACTGTGGTCGCCTATATGATGGACAATTCCAGATTAATTGTGATCGGAATTTGCCAGAGGTCCTAAACCATCAAGGTAGAAGAAGAAATGAGATATAATTGAAAATCCTGCTGCTGCTTGATCTATCGTGGACATTAAGCATGAACGAAAAAAAAAATGCAGCACGAAATTAATTAGACACAATCATAAATTTTTGTGACCAGCCTTGTCCAAGAGCAGCAATTTTGGAACTGTGACACGTGGCATTGGACCAGCATGTGCATTGATAGAAGTATGTGATTCTTCATACGTGCTTCTCACTGCTGTCAGCAGTAGTAGCTCTGCGGCATAGGGACACTGTCTACTTACGCAATGAACTCCAAGCAGCAACAGCACGCTCAGTAGCGCCATTGTCATGTATGCCCCTAGTTCAAAGATGAGGAATTCCGTGCTTTCTGAAACTGTTAAAATTGGCTGTTAGTCTTAGCTCATGTTACTAATTAACTCCATTGGGCTGAGATCTTCTTGAGAAGCCGCCAGTTGTTTAGCTACTCAGCAATTTCCCAGCATTTTATGGAACCCTAAAGATCATTACCATATTCACAAGAGACCTCCACTGGTGTCCATCCTCAGCCAGATCAATCCAGTCCATATCACCTTATCCTATCTCCCTAAGATTCATTTTAATATTGTCCTCCCACATACGTTTAGGCCTTCCTAGTGGTCTCTATTCCTTCTGGCCTTCCCATCAAAATCCTATATGCATTCCTCCTGTACCCCATGCGTGTTACATGCCATACTCATCTCATACCTCTTGACTTGATCATCCTGTGTATACTTGGTGAAGTGTCCAAGTTATGAAGTTCCTCATTATGCAGTTTTATCCATCCTCCTGTCACTTCATCCTTCTTCAGTCCAAATATTCTCACCAGCACCCTGTTCTCAAACACCTTCAGCCTATGCTCCTCCCTTAATGTCAGAGACCTAGTTTTACATCCATACAAAACCACAGGCAAAATTATGGTTTTCTATATTCTACTTTTTAGTTTTTTGAGAGTAGACGAGAAGACAACATGTTATGAACTGAGTAGTAGCAAACATTAACTGAGTTTTAGCACATATGTGTATATTTGTACCTGTTTTCTCTATCTAATCAATTTCAGTGGTTGAAAATAAAATTCAGCTTGGACAGTAACTCAGAGAATATTTGGAGGAAGAGCAGGCAGATGATGATAGGAAAATGTGTAAAGTTACAAAATGAGAAAATTCTCAGTTTTTCTCTTCTCCACATGAATGTTATCAAGGTTGACAGCTCTGCTGTGAGGGCTGCTTACACGAGATACATGCGAAGAAAACAACTACAGAAAACATGTAAGAGAGTAAAACTCTGCAGTGGCATTTTCATCAATGGGAGCAGAGATTAACTCTCCATCTGGCAATTACCCATAATGCTTCCAGATACACTGCTAAATTTACTCTTTTGTCTCATCGTTGTGCCCAAAAGGGGCAAATATGCCACGATATGGACAATTTTATATTTTCGATTCTGCTGAAACAAGAAGAAGACGGCTTGGAACTCAATCAAACTCGGGTTTATGTCAGAAGTAATTTAACGATCTGACGAGATGTTGCTAGAAATTAGTCCATTTACAGAGTCATATCAACGAATGTATCAAATGAAATATGCAGATAAACATATAATATGTTTTCATATATAATTAATAATATCTCTAAGTTGTTACTATAGGATTCTGACAATGGCGTATAACACACAGAGATACTGGGTTTTCGGACTTTATCCATCGTCGTGGATTTTAAGATAACTAAGAAAAACACGACGTTTCGGAAACTGGATCTGTTTTCGTCCTCAGGTGAGGGAAAACACCTATTCTCTTGGGTCCCTTAGAAAGAGCTAGCCTCAATCACTGGACCAGATCCAGTTTCCGAAACGTCGTGTTTTTCTTAGTTATCTTAAAATCCAGGACGATGGATAAAGTCCGAAAACCCAGTATCTCCGTATCTCTAAGTTCTTCTAGATGGGCGTAAGTTATGTCGGGTACAGATAATTTTATTTCAATTAATTAATTCAGAAACATTTGGAGATAATTTATTCCATGCATTTCAAATTTTTATGGAGTGTTTATATGTAGACTTTCATTTATCCGTGAAATTAAGGTAGGTGCCGACATAAAATGGCGGCTTGACTCTGGTGGAAATATACCTGCCACTTCTAAGGTTAAGAAAATACGTCATGGATTTCAGTGTGATGTATCTCACATTAAAAATGAGTAAGGAAATACAACTTAAATAAAGCTGTATCCGTACTAATTAATCACTCGCCATGATGATGTATGGAGGGAGTGTCAGTACGACTCCACGCTGACATTAAATTGAGATGACAGCTTAACTCCCTGCCGCATGACTTCATGGGGAAGAGCCCCCGGTAATCAGTGGAATGGATACTAGGGCTAGGAGCCAGTCTGTACGCTGTGGAGAGGAGAAATGTCTCGTACACTTGCTGCGAATCGAACCACATCCAGCCTGTTGGCTCGTGTCAAGAGAAATAGGGTAAACTAAAAATGTGGCATGCGATTTAAGCAAAATTGCAATATGAATTACCTCTCGTTGGAGTTCGGAATTCGATTTCTCGAAATTGTGGCAAATGTGCAGCGTGTCTTATGGAACGACATACGCTTATAATCTGTAAAGCAAGAGGAAGCAATATACTGACATTTAATCTGAACACGTATCAGAACAGTGATTTGATTATTCTGGAATTTGAAATCATTTTACAAACCCCATAGGCTGTCCACACAGAATTATTATAGAAATTGTTGCTTCATTAATGGGTATTGCTTGAATATTCGAAAGTTCAAGTTGTGAAGATTTCTATATTCTGTAACGCCTTGTAGTACGATTAAAATCATGTGACGTTTCGGAGGAACATGTCACCTCTATCTTCATGGTCGAAGGATAAGCCATTCAATAAACCAAGCCCTGAAAACAGAGGCAACATATTCTTCCGAAACTTCGACTGAATTTCAAAGGACTACACTGGGTAATATCCCAGAAAAATGAACACTTCATAACCACCGCAGTAAGAACCTCAAATCCTCTGTAATTAAAATTATGTTTCTTGTTTGAGTTTCCTTAATGGTTTACTGCTTTAGTATCAGACTGGTTCTCTTTCTTCCGGTTTTCCCCCTTATAACTAAGAGTGCTCAGCTCCCCAATAGTTTACGTGGTTTACTGTGGCAGTTCCTGCTCTAATTATTTTAGTGAAGGAATTGGAAATTTTAAACTCAAAATAGGTGGTGTAGCGGAAAATTGAAACTCATCTTCAGGATTTGTTCTATTTGAAAATTGGCTTGTTAATACTGCTTTCTTCTGGAAACATATTTTCTCCATCTTGATAATATCCTGAAGCTGGAAGGAGTATGTTCCTCTGAAACATTTGGTAACTATCTATCAGACAGAAGACTTCATTCTTTCTGGGGGTGGGTGACACGTTCTCCACTTGGTGCGTCGGCCGCTTTTTGGCCTATTGTACCAGCCCCGGATGTTAGATGATGACTGTGGAGCAGTCGGTGGAATGAGAATTGACAGGGGAAATCAAAGTACTCAAAAAAAAATATACCTCAGTGCCACTTTGTCCACCAGAAATCTCACATGTCCTCACCTGGGCTCGAACCCGGGCCGCGGGAAGCCGGCGACTAAACGCCTGAGCTGTGGCACGGTCAAGACTTCACTTAAAACATTGAATGTCATGAGAGTGTCCAATCTCATGTTGGTTTCTTCTGACTTTACTTTTTTTTCATGCAGATTTTAGGACAGTAAGCCATCTTGCAACAGGTCACGTGCTTTACATAAAATCCGTGAAGTAGTGGGACACACAGGGAGACAGAGCACGTAAGTTCATAAGGGGTCTCTCCATATTACAGCCAAAATGTTCCTCTACATCAAGGATCTCCAAACTACGGCCCGCGGGCCACATCTGGCCCGCGATGTGATTTTATCCGGCCCGAGAAAGAATTGTGCAGAAATGCGCCAATTGAACTAATTTTCCAATGAGTACTGGTAAAATAAATACTTGTTCACAGATTTCAAATTCATTAATTAAGACTGTGTTTAAAATATATTGATATTCCATATTATGTTAATATTAATATTATTCATAATTTTACTAATTTTGGACCGTATACTGCGCGGTATTTCTTCGTACTTGTTCGGCCTCGATCGGCAGTGTCACTTCGTGGCAATGTAGGTAGCGCGAGCAGAATTTCCTTCCTCGTTTGCAAATTTAGTCATTTCAGATTTTAAAGAACAATTTCGGAAGCGATTTGCTTATTTGGATGCCAGTGCTCAGGAAATTAGATTGTTTCAAAATCCGTTTGACTGTGATGCTGCAGATGTCCCAAGTCAAATTCAAATGGAAATTATTGAACTTCAGGAAAATTATCATATTAAAGACAAATACAAGGAAGGAAATTTAATCGAATTTTATAAATTTCTGAACTCTGAGCAATTTCCAAATTTAAATAAATTTGCTTGTAAATTTATCTCCATTTTTGGGACGACATATCTGTGTGGACAAATTTTTTCCCAGCTGAACTACATCAAGTCGAAATACAGGGCAAATTTATCCGATGAACATTTAAAGTCGCTATTTGTGATTAGCGTTTCAAAATTTGAACCTCAATTTAATCAGATTTTAAGAATGCAAAAGAGTTCCATCATTCACATTAATTGTTTTATTATAATTTGTGATGAAAATATGAGCATTTGCTGCTACTGTCTGTTGTCATTAATATACGATAATTTATTCTCACGTACTTTGTATTTAGTTTATGAAATTTTGTGCTTTCAATGAAACTCATATACCTAGAGTTATTAATTTCTCATTTTATCCGGCCCGTTGAAAGTGCTGAATTACCTAAAGTGGCCCGCGTTTCGAAAAGTTTGGAGACCCCTGCTCTACATGATAACTTTAGTAGAGAACAAATGAACGAGGAGAACTACTGTCATATGTATCACGGGGGGACTGGTCTATCGCGCAGGTCAGTATCCCGGAGCTGCTTGCAGTTTCGCCATCTGTGAACCGGTTGTCTAGTTAACTGTGGGGACCTCGACGTCTCACATCCCTATGGGCCTGCACGGCCTCTTACAGGGATAGGTTTACATTTTTCACGAATGCCTATGCTCGGATTTTTCAACAGTCCTGTTTTATAAAATAAATATACGACCTTATAAGTTGGTTCTCCTCCCGTCATCAGGTGAAAATATTAAACCTATTACTTTAGCTAAATTAAATAGAGTGACTTCTGTCACTGTCTCCATATAATTAGGTTACGTTTGACACTGTACTGATCTCCTTCACATTCAAGTTCTGTCATGGAATCGAACCACAGTCATGTATTTCTTTAGTAATTTATATTACGTAGCTGTTAGTAAGCCTTCTCTTGGTGTATAATGAATTGGTATAGAATTTGAAGGAAGTGATCGTGACCTAATCGAGAAAATATCCTGGTGTTTGCCTATGGAAACTCAGAAAATTCACGAAAACTCTCAGTCAGAATAGCCAGGACCCCAGCAATACAAATCAAGAGCTTTACCACTGCACTAACCTGCTCCGTACGCCGTGTTACTTACCAAGACAATCCATCCTATCAGCTTCGTACTCGTCTTCAGGGATATTCTGCAGCAGCAGCAACATGAGAAATCGTCCACCACAGGAACGCAGCGTAGAATTAGCGGCATTTCCGTCTATTTTGAGCCTGTCATGGAGAAAACAAATTTGGGTTAACAGAGATTGTACTGTCTAAACCCATTTCTGACTCTTCAGCAGACAGGCCTATCCGTTCGGACACCAGGGAAAAGGTAATAATCCAGGCTCATTACGAAGTCTTACACAAGTTTATTTTTGTAATATAAAATTAAATTATGCTGCTCTTTCGTTCATATCTGCACCATTTTATGTAATAATTTAAATACGTTATGTAACAGAGTAAGCCTAAATAAAACTGTTGTAACACGACTTACTTACTTACTTACTTATGGAGCTGAGCCATTCTTGAAGAGAAACCAAATCTGCGGCTACTCAAGAATTTCTCAGCATTTTATGGAACCCGAAGGTTCATTACCGTGTTCACAAGAACCCTCCACTGGTTCCTATACTGAGCCAGATCAATCCAATCCATCTCATCCTATTAAACTAAGACCATTTTAATATTGTCCACCCACCTATTCCTTGGTCTTCCCAGTGGTCTCTTTCCTTCTGGCTTTCCCACCAATATCCTATATGCATTCTTCTCCTCCATTCGTGCTACATGACCTGCTTATCTCATCCTCATTGACTTGATCATTCTAATTATATTTGGAGAAATGTACAAGTTATGAAGCTAACACTTATGACACAAATGAATATTTTCATTACAGTTATTCAAGAATTCGCATTATTAATTGTATCGAAGCTTTGAGCTAGTTGCTTTCCTTAATTAGGGGAGGTCTTAGGCAGAATTTCTCATCTCTTAGGATGCCGTCTAGATTTCGTCCGGGCCGTTCTTGACACAGTTCTTATTTTTAACACATCTAATTATTGACCTCTTATATTAGTCACAAAATTGAGAAGAGAGATATGTAAAACGGTAAAGTTCAGAACAAACAAGAGAAGGAAAGAAGCAAGTAAACATAAAAAAATAAAATTTAAAATTTTTTGTGGAAATATACAAATAATTTTAGGGTAATTAAATAATGATCACAGATAACATATTAACACTGAATCACGAATTTAAACATAACCACAATTTGTTTCTCTAATAATATTTTATATTAGAAATACATGTATATGAATGTGATGTTTTCTACACAGGCTAAGTTTCACTATTAAAATAATAAAATTATTCGCTCACATTTAAGCTGGAAGCCTGAATATTATCTCCTTAATTCCAGTGTACTTTTCATCCTTTGGGGAACGTTTTCTAATTCAAAAAGAACACTTCTAAGTACATGTGACACGCCTACCCGGTTCTTCAATGGCGTCCTTCCGTCGACCGGTTCATCGATCGGAAATCAGTGTGCGCAGGCGCGCTCTTGTACTGATGAAAGGTGTAAGACGGTAAAGATGAGATCAGTTTCATACTGTTTAGTGGGCTATTTTACGGGGTGTTAGTACGCAGATTGTGCTGGTCGAGCGTCGAATGAAAGTGCGATAGACCTACGATTAATTCCAAAGATTTGGAAGGAAGAGGTCATGGACTAATCTAGATAATTTCCGACTATTTGCCTGAAGGGACTGAGGAAAACCAGGAGAAATCTCAGTTAAAATAGTCCAGCATCTTGGCCGAGATTGGAACTGAGCACCGCCCGAAAATTATTCTTGAAATTTACCTCTACTTCACCCTGCTTAAGAAGTTTTATTTTTGGAAGGTACTTGGACGTAACCTGGAGCACCTGGAGCCCATACTGTGTCATGGCCTATGTCAACCAGTCGTGGAAAACACTCCAAAACGGTTGCCAGACGCTGCGTTATGAATCGTCTCTACAGAATGTGTAACTGTAAATTCAATTTTATACCTTTGTTAACAAGATCTAAAAAAAAAAATACTTTCGAAAGAAACAAAACGGTACGCCTGAGAAAGTTATCCATCGTCCTATCATTTAGGCTACTTTCCTTATTTTGAAAAAAAATGGAAATAGGCTTATGAGGGCACCTTGCTATCTGTGTGTGTGTGTGTCTGTATATCCCCCCTATCAACTTTTGAATGTCTGAACCAATCTTTCTGAAATCTGTTATGCATATCACGACACCTGAGCCCGTCTCAACGGTGTACTTCACAAATCCCTCCCATCAGTCTGTGTTTCTGTATGTATATCCCCTATCGTTCCCAGGCAACGGCTAGGTGAAAACGTTACCACGGCACCGAATATACACGCAACAATAGAAGAATTGTCGGACGCCTGGTTTTCTACGAATTCCGTGTCGCATCAAAGGAACGTAAGCGAATAGTTCTTCTCAGAACTTCTTGTGTTAATACATCCTGACTTGCGATGGTACTAGTGTCCGGAGACAAGGACTAATTCTATCGATTGGGCCCAAGTCTACCTAAGGACAGAGGTATAGAGTCTCATCCCTTCAACGCTGTTTTATGTAAAAAGAGGACAATGGATAACGTCAGTAATATTTGTAATAATATATCATCGCCAAGAATATTTAGAATTTATTTACGCTTAAACCGTCTAAGTTCATTTTTACTGACCGTCCCAATATATTCAGAACAAGAGAATACATTTAAAAATAATTTTAATATTTTTTTCCTTGTGTTTTCTTTTCAAATTTATTTTCCAGTAATCCAAGAGGGATTCAGTTTCTTAAACCCTTGTCGGCTGCTAATGTAGAATAACCTTAAAAAACTTAAACACTAATCATTTGTCACCCTGAGACACGGGTTACAACATTTAAGTATTCAACTCAGTGGAGTTGCGTACACATTCAGAATGACTACTGAGTCAGTCAAGAAAGTCTTCCTTTTATGGAATCAGAATTATCGTTATCGTATTCACAAAAGCTCGTCATTCTTCCCAGTCTCGAGATATCCTACATGAGCTTCTGGACTCTGAGGAGATTATAAAAACCTTTTGCTCCTGGCAGGAATCTTCATGACAGTGAAAACTATAAATTTCGATTAGAACTTGTTAACACAACCACCATCAAGTTTCCACGTTCCCTGATTTCTAACACAGCTATAACCATATGCATTAGTGGGAAATCCCCCTAGAATTCATCATGTCATTCGTGAGGGTGGGATACCGCCTCACCTTCTCCCCGCCTACCCATATATGCTTCACAAAGGTATGGAATAGTGTAAGGCGTCACCTCACGAATGCTCCCCTTATTGGTTGAAACTCACATGACTTTCCGTCATTGGTGATATTCTTTGGCCTAAGAACCTTCCCTGCATGGGGATGATGACCTACTATTCTGTGATTAGTTGATCTGTTTATCACACATGATTGGTTCACAGGTACGGGGAGAAACACGTATGTAAATCCTTACCAGCTTTGTGAAGTCTGACGTGTTAACGTGCAACAGTGACAACAAAGCTTACGTTGCATCTGAGGTTCTCATAACAGTAACTGTCAGCAGCACAGTCTTGTGCGTCTTGTGGCTTATAAGGCCATGTACTTCAGAAAAGACCCACATTTCGGTAGAACCATATCCAACTTCTCTGACGATTGTCGTTAGCTATCAGAACCTACGCGTGCCATCTATCGGATAGGTTGAGTGACATCTGGCGCTTGAGCTCTACTCCTCTGCCATCTGGTAACAATTGTAAGAAGTTCATTGATCTACTTGCAGAGGTTACCACGGCGGTGACTGTATAGCTGTATAGATTCTTTAGGTGTAAAGCTGTGTAGTTCAGTAAGTCGCCGGGAGTCGGCAGTAGCAGTCGGATGGTTTCCGCTTTTCGAAGAGGAGATCCCATTTCGAAAAATCCAAGCTCGAAACTGAGAATTAATGTGCTGTCGAAGGCCAGAAGGAAGTTACTGCTCTGTCCTCTGCTGTGTAGTTCGGAGAGAGTTTAACGATTCAGAGGAACATCGCCTCCATCTTCAGGGCTGAAAACCTAAAAGATACAGCAGCGGAAGTCGGTGAAAACCTGAACTCAGTTTGCCATCTTCTTCGGCCGAGTTCTTGATTGGCTTACTCTTCGACCTTGAAGACGGAGACCATATGTTCCTCCGAAATGCCGTACTCTCTCTGAACTTCATGTGGTTTCCACCCCTTACTTACAAGCAATGCAATACCTGCCAAAGCAAACATTTATATAAGGGAAGCAAATATCCTGGAATTAAGATACCCTGAAGTTATTCTGCATTATATAAATGCTGATACTTCTACTGTGGTGGAAAGGGTGTAGTTTTGTGGGTATAAACCGACGTTTCGGAGGAATATGGTGTCTTTATCAAACTACACAGTGTTACAAGCCAGAAGACAATAATTTTAATTGTTCTGCATTTTTGTGGTTTGTATAATTACAATTAATCGTGTACATAATTGGTAAAATGTAAAAAAGTAAAGCTATCCCTGTAACAGGCCGTGAAGGCCCATAGGGTTGTAAGACGTTGAGGGTCCCACATTATCTAGATAATCGGCTCACAGATGGCGCTTTACTTCCCAGAAAATGATTTAATTAATTCCTGGTACTCATTTCTGTTAGAGGCTGAGTCGAACCCAGGGCCATAGTGCGGCTGGAATGATTAGGTCAATTGAAAAAATCAAGTGACCTCATCGGGACTTGAACCCACGACCTTCGGACTTGTAGCATAGTGCCTCAAAGAACTACGCTACCGCTACATAATTGGTACCAACATAAAACATTCACTTAACACTGGCCGTAACTGATTATGGCGACCTTACCAGAGTACGGCGGTCAGACAGGAAGCGACATTATTATTGTTAATGTAATTATGATGGACATCTTCAGAAGCTAATAGTCGCTCAGCCAGTCAAGAAATTTTCCACATTTTTTGGATACCGAATGTTATTTAACATGCGCACAAGGGCTCGACAACTTTCCCTATCCTTAGCCAGACGATTCTACTCCGTCTTCTTACGCCCTATTGCTTTCAGATTCATTTTAGTATTATTCTACCATATATGCTTAGCTTTCCCAAGTGGTGTCTTCCTTTCAGTTTTTCTTTTCTACAGCCCAAAAATGATACATTCCCACGTCACCTCGTCTAGACACGAAGCACATGCCAAACACAGCACCTCTATTATTGCATGTATTAATTTATGCGGAAACCTGTTTACTCAACTGTTCCATAGCAACGGCTGTACGCTCACATCTCATACCGTGACAACTACTTTATTGTTTAATGTGGACATTACCTAGCACTGTTCTTGGTTTGAGCAAATATGCCACATTATGGTTCATTATGGTTCATTATGTCTTTAGTTAAAACTTTCGGTAGAAGAGTATAAGTGGGGGGTTGTTAAACTGAATGGTAGCAAGCATTCACCAAATTCAGTACGTTAATTTCAATTTGTTAACAGTCTTTCTCAAAACTTGAAACCCACTACATATTTCGTTCTTCGTTCTGAAGATAAGACATGGCCTAACAAGGCTTATTTTATTCTTCTCCGTTTTTAATTCTAAATGAAATTTCATAACGGAGTCTAATAAAATTGCCACAATTATTGTGAGGTCTCACTGAACTGCTGTTGGGAACAGGTCCCCACTAGACGCAATTGCTGTTCTAATGCACAAGTTGTCCTCGTGGTGCTTTCTGAAGACGACGTGACCACGTCCGTTACCCCAAAGAAAATACCATAAATTCTTCCTTTCCTCTCAACACAGATCCTTTCAGTTACGGTCCCAGATTACTGTTTCATTCGTGAGAAATTCATATTTCCTCTATAACTAAAAGAATAGGGTAGAAATCTTGTAATTTTCATAGACAGAATATAAGTTTATTTCGGCCATTTCTTGAAATAACCATAACAACGTAAACACGGATAGTGCAGATAGTCAAGGGGAGTTTTATGACTCATAATACACTGAAAATACACCAGGAATCTCATATAATCTCATAACGTATAACAAAAACATGTTACAACATTTATTCTAAAGATATTTTTATATATATATTCTCTCTGTACATACACATGAACAAAGAATCATTGTTTCATATATTTTAATTTGTATGTAACGAAAATATCTCGACATGTTTTACTAATATAAATAATATATATAGCTCATTTAAATAGTCACAATTTTCCTTATAGGAATAAGGGAGTTAGAATATTGATATTATTGAATTACATGCTTTGATAACAGGCTACTCTATCACAAACTCACAGGCTGTATTTTCTACTGACAACTGTGAAAAGTCAAAGAAAAATAATGTATCACATAACCTTTCATAATGTGATATCATTGTCTATAATTTGTTGTAGACCAGATATTCTGTAACCGTCCATTCTGACTGGAGGAGTGTTGTGTGAAAATTAAATTTTGTATTAAGTTAAGATTAACAATATTACAAACAAAGAGATCCGGCAGATAGCCAGCTCTTACACGCGGAAGGGACATAGTTCAAGTTTTGCTATGTGAACAGGAAGTAACATCTGGTACTTTCCTGGAATTCTGGCAGTTTCAGCAACGTCGGAAAGGCTTTGAGAAAATGAGAGCTGACAGCTTGGGACAGCGATAACTTAGAAGTGGGACGGCCGGAGCCTCACACCCTGACTGTAATGCATCAAGGGGCTGTCATCCTTAGCGTCAGGTCAGCATCTGCCAGAATCACATAGCAGAGCAACATGATTGGGAATTCAAAATTTAGGGAACCTCCTAGTTTGAAAATTAACCAATGGCAGATTGGAGGAGTGGATTTCTCTTGGAGTCTGGGGTTCGTGGACCTCAGAATTCAGAGAGAGGGCATTCTATCTCAGGGAGTCTTGACACTACTTTCGGCAAAGTCGGACACTAAATTTACCACTACGGCCCTTCCGTAAAATAGTATAAGTACAGTTCAATTCAATAGTATTAATAAATTCAGTTGTATGCAGAAAGCTGGAAGGGATTAAAGGACTACTAAGTGCTACCGTCGAAAGGTGGGTGATTGTAGTGAAGTGTTCTTCCTGCCCTGTCCGAGCCAGACCCTTATAAGACCCTGGGATAGGAACCCAGCTCTACTGATTAAAGTAAAGAACCCAAAGAAGTGAGCGGTGGTGGAGTGGCGCACAACGAAAAGGGCACAAAGGAAGTGAGCGGTTACAGTTCTGTGGTAATTTTAATTCTCTCTGCCAGATATAAGGGAATCAGAGATCTAGACAGGAGAACACACATTTGATATAATCAAGTAAAGTAGTCGGGCAGATGATACATTATTGTAGAGCAAAATGGATCCACTGAAGTTTGTAGGTCTGTTTCATAGTAAACTTCAGCTATGTTGAAGAGTTCATTTTCTGAGATATAACGCCGTGTATCCATTGAATGTCAAAAGACGTTTCGGAGGAACATATCGCCTCCATCTTAAGGATTGAGAAATATTCCAGCAAGAATCCAGAACTCTATTTTATACCTGCTTCATGCTGTGTTTTTGCTTGTCTTATTCTTGGAACCTGATGATAGAGGCGACATATTCCTCCGAAACATCGGTTATCTTTGAACAGACTACACGCCGCTATACTCTACAGAATAGAACTCTTCATAAGAACCTCAAATCCTACCAGTTTCAGTCATGTCACAAATTAAAAGTCTCCATACAGCATGATGGTGCGAGCAATGAAGAAAGGCAAAAGAATTTTAACAGTCCTTAAAAATGTGTCTGTATAAGTCTATTATGTATAAAATACATAAAAATAAGAACGCTGTGTTATTTCGGTAACATGATTTCAGTTAAGGTTTCGTCTGGCTTCTTTGCCAATTTCAATTAGGCGAAATGCAGGAAGATACAGCGTAACTACTTACCTGTATGTTAAGAGATATCCTTATTCAAAAGCTATGCTGTTCCTAAGTAGTCTAGTGGATTGCATTATAGCTGAAATTACAATTATTATTTTTCTAAACACAACATGAAATATAATTACAAGCTTCAGAATCGAAACTTTGAAATACCGCAAGGTGTCCAGATGTGCGTAATTGTATAATTCTGGTGATACTCATAAAATGTAAGCAGTAACACAATATTTTCGCATCAACTGCCTCCCTTTTCTATAAATCATAATATTCTGTATCATACAAAAACATACCTTTCAGATGCGAATACCAGTTTCNCGTTCCTCCGAAACGTCGGTTAACACCACTTATACACGGTGCCAAATCCCAGAAGACTGCCTTCTTCATAGTCACCGCCGTGAAAGCCTCACATCTTACAGAATCTATCACGTCTTATAATGAACAACTGCAAGTCATACAAAATTTTACTCATTTATATGATACAAAACGTGATTAATTTGGTTATAGATGTTACCTGCAGATATTACGACGCATCTGGTATGTCTAAACTGATGGGGCACTACTCAATTTTCTCCCTTCCTGTGTGATATATTTACAAAGTACTGAAATTTCACATAGCTACAGTTGTTTGTTTGTCCTGTGAAAAATTATAATGATAATGTTAACTGAAATCACCGACTTAGCTACATAAGAGATGCAGTTAGCATAACGGAATTAATTTTTGTATTGTCATCAGCATTTACACAGCAATTTCAAGGACTGCATCTTGTTGTGTGTACAATATCTTATGGTTATGACAGTCAGTACAACCTTGTAATGTAGATTTACGTTAACTTTACGAATAAGTATTGGCCCGCAACAACAAACGCCGGTGGCACAATATGGGTCCATGCTGGAAAAAATTTACTTTAACAACTTGAGTCAGTGATCATAAAAGGTACCTGATGATGATCTAAATCATAGGTCGAAACATGTAGTAAGAAATCCATAAAGGTAAACGTTAAAGTTGCCCTTGTACTTAACTTATTAAGCACTAGGCCATGAAGGGGTATGGGGGAGTGGATGTACAGATCCACATTTTATTGACCTCGAGACTAGTTGGAGGTGACTGGTCAGCTTCACGCCCCTACCGCTTTACCCCCGGAGAAAGATCCCTTAGTACTCATTGTATAGGAGACTGGGTGGGCCCCAGAGCCGGTCTGGATGACGTCGAGAAGAGAAAATTTTTGACCCTACCGAGACTCGACTCTGAACCCTAGGTCGTCCAGTCCGTAGCCAATCGCTATACCGACTGTGCTACCCCGGCTCCCGTAAGACATCCATTCTTATCTAAATTAGTACGATACATATCAACATCTGTTTTTGTCTTCAGCCGAAGATGTTCCGCTTAACTGTTGAGTTGACCGCCATAACTATAACATAGGCACACAGCACACCGTGTGCAACACAGAACTGCTCATTCAAAATCAAAACCTTATTTTCAATTTCTGTTCAATACCTGAAGTAATTTACTATAAAACATTGTAAACGCCTGATACAAATTACCACAAATACGGGAATTAACTGAATGTTGCTTATGCTTATGCATTATATATAGGCCTATAGGTTGAATAAATGTAATATAAGCCTATGCCTAACTTACTGACTTTTTGAAGTGCTTATATACGCACACGTGTTACTGCTTAAGTTTCATGACGTGTGGGGTAACACAGCCACGGTTTGTAAGAGGCTGTTTCCTTTGGGCTTCTCTAATCGTTTCAACTTCACTCTCTGTGACACGGAGGATATAATACGTCAGTTAGCTCTATAAACCTATAAAGATCCATTGTTATAATGAAACACACACACACTCCTTGATACATGTAGTTTGATATAATATAATAAGATTTATCATTTTCAGGTTCAGCAAACACGTANAATTACTCTGAACTACACCATACGTATTGTCCTCCTGCTCACTGCATATAACATGAAGCCCAATTGGCCTGTTACTGCTCATAATAGATGCATTTAGATTATTATCTTGCACTGGGTTAATATTTTAATCTCTCTTTAAATATTAATTAAGTCACATAAAACACACATTTAGATGTATTCTGTTTATATTTTACACTGTATTCAGCTTGAATAATTATAAATATATATTTTGTTTCTATCTGCACTGATCGTGCCCTAATTACAGAAAGCCGCTAAAATAATATTATATAAATGAAGACACTGTCAATACAACTGTGATACAGCGACAAATTAGGCCACTACTAACATATCTATAATTACGAGTATAGTAATGAACATATCAAACTAAAACATCATGTTGACTTTCACTATGAAGACAATTCTACAGAGGGTTGATCAGCTGTCTATATATGCCATGAAGGCGTATCGGTATACGAAATGCAAGGGGTAATCCTGGAATTGAAGAATGCAATTTCTGTCTGCAAATATTTCGAAAAAGATTTATAACATAAATTTCAGTGCATTTATGCATAATACGAGGCCGATGTGATTCTCTGTTAAACTTTAGGTGGATACCTTACTCTCATCGGACCACAATAACTTGAAATGAAGCTTATCTCTTATGGCCTTTAATTACAGTAAGTCTAACTAACGAATTCCATGGAGCTGAGTCGATCTTGAGAGGCCGCCAGTCGCTCAATTACTCAAGAATTGCCCAACATTTTACTGAACTCGAAGATTCATTACCGTTTTCACAAGAGCCCTCCATTGGTCCCTAACCTGAACCAGATCAATCCAGCCCTATACGATTCATTTTAATATTATCCTCGTTCCTATATCTGGGTCTTCCGAGTGGTTTCCTTCTGGCTTTCCCACCGAAATCGTATATGCATTCTTCTTCTTCCAATATGTTATATTATCTACCCATCTCAGCCTCCTAATTATGGCACGGCTCCATAAACAAATTCTAAGTAACTGCCTTCAAGGATCAGAGTTCTTTCTCAAGTAACTCCTGCTCGTCTAAGCCAGGAATTTCAGTACCTTTTAAAGAACCCGAACGTTCATTACAATGTTAACAACAGCCAGTCACTGAATCTTAACTTCGGGTAGATAAATTCAGTCCACATCCTCCTTTATCTTTTCTTTAAGACGGATTTTAATATTATCCTTCCAATTTCGCTTCAGTTTCTAAATTGGTCTTCTCCTTTCGGGGTTTTCAGACCAAAACTCTTATGCATTGTTCATATATTCCATTCGTTCTACTCTCCTAACATCTGTTCTATTTGGTTCTATTACTTTTGTATGGAAACTGAATGAGCATTACCGTTTTCGCAAAAGGCCGCCACTGGACTTTGTCTTCAGTTGGATGAATACTATTTCGCTTAGTGGGGGGTGGAGTCCAACTGGGTCCAACTCGGCACGGCGGCCACTGATTGGCCTATTGTAGCCTGCCCCGGGCGATTATGATGATGGAGAATTTGGTGGAATGAAGACTGGCAGGGAAAACCGAAGTACTCGGAGAAAACCTGCCCCAGCGCCATTTTGTCCACCACAAATCCCACTTGACCAGACCCGGGCTCGAACCGGTGCCGCCGCGGTGGGAAGCCAGCGACTAACCGCTTGAGCTATAGCGCGGCCCACTAGATCAATACTATCTATCGTATCCTCACACAAGTTTTTGGACATGGGACTTTCACTTTTGACAGTTTGCCGGTATGCATAAATTGTTTTCCGGTATGTGTGCTAGACGAAATTAGTTTTAAACAGGATACAGACACATTTCACGTGAACTCTCATTTTCTACTCTGAACATCGTTGCGCTACACTTGATGCCATCTACTGAGAGAAACACTACACCAATTGATTAAAAGACAAGCCGACTACTTCGCTCTGACAGTTTTACTGCAAGTGCTCCGTGCCGATTTAATCAATTCAAGCGGTAAAAAAAAGTTCATTTTCCTAAAACTTAAAAGTCATATGTTGCTTATCAAGTTATATTCCAAAAGCTGTAAGTAAATGTTCTGTGATTCGAGATTATAACCTGGCTCGATTATCGACGTTCCAATATTTGAATTCACGAGACAGGATATCGTTAGAGAGTGTTCACAACGGAGCAACTACCAACCGTAATTGAACCTGGAGTTCAGATAGGGTTGAGTGACAACATATCATCTACCCTGTTGTGTCATGTTACATCCCGTCTCATCAGCGAGTGCCGGCCACAATGTTTCATACTTTTACCATGTTGACTGATGACGTAAGCTGGGTAGGCTGTCCGAGCCAACGTATGATTGCCCGAGGCCGAAAAAATGAACTGTCCTGTGACGTGACTACGGGCGACAGCAAAGCAACTTCTGACTGCACACGTTTCCCCCCTCCCCCTTTCTTCCTATTTCCCACCAGCATTCATCTGCCAGCGCGTGTCAATAGAAACACAACGCGTCACCGACCAGGAGTTAGTTGACCCTATAGTGCATGCAACCCTGCTTTGACGTCTCTTGTATTCTCTATACCAGGCATGTCCAACGCGTCGATCGCGGGACGATTTTTGGTCGATCTCATAGGCCTATAAGGAAATTATACGTGAAAAGCATGTAAATTCACTTGTAATATACGAAAATACGTGTTAAAGCAGTCTGTACTTTCAATGTATGTTGCTTTTACAACAAACATCAAGTTATTTTTACCAATATTTTTGCTTAAAGCGAGGTCCGACGATAGGAGGGGGTGGTAGATCACTGTCAGTTTTGACACTAAAAAGTCGATCACAATCTGTTTGAAGCTGGACATGCCTGCTCTATACCATCATGGAAAAGTAACATTCGCTAGGGCGCTCACAGGAAACAATGTTCCCTGGCCAGGCAGGATATAAGTGTAATTACAGTTCTATTGTTGACAGCATCCACAGTGAGGTACCTCCCTTAGGTATAAACCAATATTTGCTAATCGGACTAAGAATAAGTAAAATATTTTAATTATTTAATAAGCACAATATTTGTTACATTATCCCAGAACTAGTAAGCAAGGTTCGATGTCGATTGCTTATCTTCGTCGACGAGATTTTTTCTGTATTCTGTTGGCTTGGTGAGAGAACTTGTCTCTAGTTGCGTGTGGGTTTCCGTCATGGCCACCTCTATCAGCTGCCAGTAAAAGCTATAGATAATTAGCCAGCAGTACCCAGCGATGGCTGAAACAAAAGTACGCAATGATGATACTGGACAGCACTCATCTCTATTTAATGCATTCACTGCTTCGGGTCCGACACAGGCGTTCCGCGAGTTACCTAAGACTCCACAAGTATATTCAACTTCATGCAGATAATTCAGCAAGGCAAAAAACTAAGGAAAATATTTTAGGAAAAACCAATCGCCTACTTTTCTTCTATACGGCAAGGAAAGCAAAAAAAAACGGGAAAAAAATACTGGGGACATAGAGTCACACAAACATGCAGACAGCAAGGTGATCTCATAAGCCTCTTTTTTATTATTTAAAAATATGGTAAGTAAAAATAAAAGATGTAAAGTTGTCCCTGTGCTTAACTAATTAAGCACTACGCCATGATAGTGTATGGGGGAGTGGATGTATATATCCATATTTTCTTGACCTCGACACTATTTGGAGGTTATTGGTGAGCTTCACGCCGCGGCTGCTTTACCCCCGGGGAAAGAGCCCCCGGTACCTATTGAATAGGAGGCTGGGTGAGCCCCAGAGCCGGTATGGACAATGTGAAGAACAGAAAATTATTGATTCAATCAGTGCTCGCACTCCGAAAATTAGGAAAGTAGGCTCATAAAATGGAACGTAAATTAAAGTTTATAGTTGTAAATGTTAGTTTTCTACATATTAAAATTTCTCAAAAGATTATCCTTGTCAATATTTTGTTAAAAACCAAGGTTTCGGAGATCTCCCCCATCTACATCATGAGGGCCGATGTTGTCTATGCTTAAAAATTAATTTGTTTCCGTGTTCTCATTATTTTCCATGTTTTTATTCTTTCTACGAAGCACACTCACACACAAGCATGCATACATAAGCACATGTGTATATTACAGTAACGATTTCGACTTACGCAAAATTTGGTTACGTAAGACATTTCGGAATGGAACGATTGCGTAAACCAGAGAAATTTTGTATGTGATGTCGATTACACCTGAACTCACTGACAATGATCATGGGAAATGTAATTTTTGCCGAAATGCTGGAAAACTTTTAACATTTCACATGATGTATACGCAAGAGCCGAAGTCACGCAGTGAAATCTGAGGATCTCGCGGTTATTCGTTTGGGTCTCAGGGCGCTTACTCTAAGGCTAGTCTTCNAAAATCAAATCGACGCGTGTAGATTAACAAAGATTTTATACAATTAGAAAGACTGGTAATTTTAAATTTTAAAAAGCAGTGTAACAGCTACGTGAGTGATACACACCTGATGATGGCCATTTAGGGCCGAAACATGTAGTGTGGAGGAGGAAAAGAAGTAAAAACTACAATAAAAATTTGTTGCACTTAAGACGGTATTTATCCATATATATTATCCTTCTACATTGAAGACAGAAGCAGCAGTTTCCTCTCAAATATCAGTAACGACCTGCCAGATTACAGGGTGTCATATCCAAGAAGATATAAATCTTCATAGCTACCACCAAGAGAACCTCAGATCTCGGAAAGGGGAAGCATTATCTTACACGTGATGACGAGTGTCACTGAAAAATACAATAGTAACATCAAAAACTTAAAATGTATATGTGAAAGTCTAATAAAGGCTACAAATTATTAAAAAATTTATAAGAATTTCACAGGAGCTTATATTAAGGCCTAAATAATACGCCTAATTTCCCAACAGCCGAACTGAGGGACACAGGGATTGAACACGACAGTAGTGTCGTGACTATAGACTGGTGAATAGATTTATTTACCACTTATACACACGACTCGGAGCTACAAGCAATTACAGCGCCACAATTGATCTCCACAAATCGCCACAGCACCCGCTAAGCCTTTACCAGCCGGCTGTGCTTTCACCAGTAGTTCCCTGTCAACGGCTTCTAACAGTGGAAATTCTTCAGCTTCGCGCGCTCAGGTCCTCTCTTCACAGCCTCCCGTGCAGAACTCAACTGAACTATCGACGGACTAAGCTCCTTGCTTGTAATATCTCGGCACAGACCACTCACAAACACCCCGTTTCCATTGTTGTAGCCAAACTGTTGCATTATTAAGAATCTGATGTCCAGTAAGGGGAATGTGTTTACTGGGCCGTTGCTTGGAAACGGTCACTGTTTAGAGAGACACCGCTTAATAACGGGTAATATGACACAATAACTTCACCGTCTGATAGAAGGCAATAATATAGCAATCCCTGTGCTTACTTAAACACCACGCAATGAAGGCGTATGGGGAAGCTGAGATATAGGTCCCTTTATTCTTAATCTCGGCGCCGATGGAGACAAGCGGAAAGGTTCATACTTCCGGCACTTTACCCCCACGGGAAGAGCTCGCAGTAACAGTTGAATGAGTCTGTGTGGGGCCCAGAGCCGGTCTGAATTCTGAGAAGAAAATAATCTCTTGCCCCTGGCGGGAATAGAATCCACTCCCAAATTATATTTTAATGATTCACCCATGGAGGGGGGAGGGTCACAGATTTCCAGGGAATTATTGAACACGTAACTGTTTGCACGCAAATGAGTAAGTCGAAATTCAAGGGCTCTCGGAAAATACTGTTGCAGTGGCCGAAAGAATTTGCAACATTTGCTCTTGCCTGTACAGGGACACTTTGTAGTTTACTGCAGATGTAGAGAGAGCGCAGAGCTATTCACGTCTTCACTCACACTCTAAGATAAGGACCTGCAACAATGCGCAGAACTCCAGTTTTCTCTGAACCGGCAAAGATGGCTGTGGTGGGGGGTCACATAAATTTATGTATCATTTTAGTGTATCGG